CAACACCTATAGCTTAGTATAACGACCATCGCAGAATGGGATAAAAAGAACTGAATGCCTCTTAATACAAGCGACTTAAGAAACAGTACAAGGATTTTGATAAGTGTTGAAAATTATGGGGGCAGTTGCTTTATACTAAAAATTCAGTAATACCCATATAAGACAATAGGAATGACTGAAAAATGTTATAGGAAATATGGAAAATACTACCGGTAAAATCAAAGCATAAAACAAATAATAAAACTGTACACACAAAACCTGAAGGTTATTTGAATGCCTCAGTATTACTGTGGGCAATAAAATGTGGCTGTATCTTAATGAGAGAATATGTGATCCTGCGTAATTGTGTGCTGAATTCAATAAAAATATTGTATTATGGGATTAAATTCAACCACGGTATCCAAGTTCTCTTTTTGTTTCACCTATCTTCGATACAAAGGACATCCATGTTTAATCTGTATGTAAAACAATAAACTGCCAACTTCTGATAACACGGTTCGGCAATTCATAACATTTGGTTTCATTATGTGGGCGGGTAGTTATTGTCTCAAAAATCCCCTAAATAAACTTGTTTGTGTTCAAATGCAGTCAGATAACCCTGTGTGGTGAAAATTATTCTGAATTGCTGGCAAGGTTATAAGAGCATAACATCTTTTTCTGAGAAAATAGTCAGTCATGAAAACGATGATTTTGGTGAGCGAATGCTAGTTTAAGTCTTAAAGCGAAATTTACATTTCAGGCTATGCGTCTAAGAGTCAACAAGCTCCAGATGTATTTAGCTACCTTTCGTTTTACGTATGACAGATGCGTAAAGATATTTGTTGTCCTCCAAAATCAAATATAATACAGTGTCTTTACTTGTTTATGTGGTTTGAAATACTGTAAGGGACCAGTTTGGATCACGAATTGATACTATTTAGTGAACCGTTGGAAACTACGGCGTACTGAACCGCTGTTTCGTCCTACTTTGTGACTCTTCGGCACACGCATTCATGATCACACTAGGAATATAACCCAAGACCCCCAGGCTACAAAGCCAGCTTGTTGACCATTCAGTTACTGGGACGAAGTTCAGTGGTCCATGAATTCTACCTTCTATCAATTCGTGACTTATAGCACCACCATCAGTCACTGTAAAGAACACAAGAATTTATAAAAGTTTGATTGGCTTCACAAATGTTGTTTTTCCTTAATCTTTGTTTACTTTAACTTACTTCATTTTATAATTCTGTTTGCTTCATAATGTTTTCTAGTGAATGGTTTGGTCTTGTCAGTGAAACTGCATTATCAGCATTTCAGCGCAGTGCTATCCTCTCTGCAAGAATAGCTGATTCAAAATGCTTATATTCATGTGCAGTTTGTGCTTGGAATTATTGTCTCCCTACAATATGTCAGAATGACCATCGCCAGATAACAGCTACATTTTCGGTTAGTTAATATTAGAAGGAAATATTGACTGAATTCATAAATTTTTCCTGGTAAAAGTGAATAGATGATATACGTTACCCAACAGGGAATGAATGATACTTCTGCTTATAAGAAGTAAGGTAAAACTCAGTTATTTCAAGTGTAAAAGGGGTACCTTGTGCCTGGCTTTCTCACGAGTTATACAATGACATCTTGTGTGAAAGCATTTTCTAATTTCTAAGTAATAATAATAGTTTAATGACAAAAACCGAAGTATTATGGTATGAATGCAGGGAACTAACCGTTGCCTTTTACTGTATAGCCAACCAAACTTCTTCATCACCCCATAAACATGCATATATACAGAAGTTCCAACGCTTGTGCAAATGCTGCAGTCGTAAAGGATAATTAATTCAAGTTTAGTCATCGTTGTAACACTATATAAAAATCGATTTGGTTAAGCGAATCCTTATGACCATTACAATGAACATGATAATATCATTCTAAAAATAATGGTTAGCAGGGGGAATGATGTATTATGTCAGAAAACAGTCGGAGAGAAAGAAAAAAAGCCATAAATGCAAAAGTGAAGAACATCTTATAGCAAAAGTTATATATTTGACTTAAATCAACAAATTGCCATGACTTTTTTGGATTGACTGATGAAAATGCCGCCTAAATTATGATAATTTTACTGTCCAACCTACAAAACACAAATTTCCCTTCAGTGTAGGTACTTATTACTCAGGTTATGAATAGTCAGTTTTTAGAGGAATTCAACCATTGATAGGCAAATAACAACTTACTGAATTCAGTACAGTTATATGATGAAAATGACTTTAGACTGGTGTGACTGAATAACAAAAGTCTTCATTACAAAAATAAAAATAAATACTGGAGTTATAGAAGACTGACATTTGATTAGCAACTGAATCTCAGAGATCACCTAATAGATGCTTAATAATCAAGCTTTGTTACTATTGAGCGGTTTTTTTGGAAATTTAATTAGGAATTCAAGCATGTCCCTGTATATTATTATAAAAGACCAAATCCCTAAAGATTCTCTATCTAATTGTGTCTATAAAATAAAATGCTTGGAATATGGTGCGATATGCATCGGAAAAACATTATGGGAAATCAAAATCAGAAGAAATGAACACCGTAGAGCATCTGTTCAACCACTACTGAGAAATTCAGTTGAACTAGAAAAGCTTGAAAAATCATCAGCCATAGGTCTACACGCTACGCTATAGAATCAGGCCACAAAATTGATTTTGACAATATTGAAGTAATCTAGAAAAACTTCAGAAATCACAAAGAACGTCTACTATCACAAGCACTTCATATCAAGTGGAATCCAAATTATCTGAATAGGAATGATGGACTAGAACAGAATCTGACATGGTTACAACACCCCCTCCCCAATGAAGTGAGAAAATCAACACAAATTTGATAAGCAATATCATCATATAAACACACGCTGTCTTATAATTTTAGACACTTATCAAATCCAACAATCTACACCTGGTTTGTTATCTTTACCAATTGGCCAGCCTGACAACGCGAAAATATGCCAACGCAACCCACGCTGAGGAACGATGATGTATAAATATAAGCTGAGATTTTGTAAATTCTGGTTTAATAATACTCTGATAAAGACATGGGCATTAAATAGCGAAACGTCAGTAAAAACAACAATATCGTTTTGTTTTTCATTCATTGAGAAATACAAAAAACCTTTATTGTAATGAATATCATATACCGAATGCCCAAATTTTTTCAAACTGTTAAAAGTGAACTTGGTTTGGACATATCTAAATTATTACATTATGTTATTAACTATATCACTGTAATAAAATCATTTCCTATAAGTATTTAAATTGAAAAATATCACCCAGAATTCTCAAACATAAAAAATTAATTTATATTCTCCCATGTATTTTGACTGAAAAATTTAGGTGATCCTGGAGAGCGCAAATAAAATTGGACCAAACTGTTTACCAGCTCAGTTGTATACTGAAATGGCTACAGTACTGGCTCATGGTTTGATTCAACCCTGGCTACCGAAGCCAATAAAGTCAATTATACATTCCAGTAATGAAAAGAATAAGTCACTACCTTCTAGCACAACACAGAAAGGTCAAAAGACAAGCAGAGGAAAGTCAGCGAAACCCACCACATATACTGTAAGTAATTTTTCAGATGTCATTTCATGAGATGAACAGAAGTAAATTGGATAAGTTTATACTGCTAGTTTTGCCAGGTAATTCATTCTATTTACTGAAAGCATTTTCCAGCTTTTGTCTTTACCAAGCACTGGTTTAATTCATAGAGTTTTGTATATAAGTCAAAGTGTCGCCTTCAACTGTGGTTATTGTTGAAATCAAAATGAGAATGACAATTTTAAAAAATCCTACATTCACAAAATAAATTTTATTTCCATTATGGCATAAAAGTGTAGTTTGTAATTCAAATTAATTAAATGCACACACTTGCACTAATGAAGTATCTAGACACTTGATAAGTCACCAGAAGCACACTGTAAAGTGAAAGAGTAAATATTTACAACACATGAGAAACACTTAAAGACAACACATATCAAGTATTTATTAAGATCAAGACAACTCCGAGTTACTAAATAAGGCGCCAATTATGGTGAGGTAAACACTAGATAATATCTTATATCGATGCTGATCATAAAATAAGGGTGCGATTCACTGGTTATACTCAACATAAATTTTGTTTTTGTTGACCATTCTTCAGTGCGTCGGTGGCATAGCGGTTAGAACGCTCGCCGACCATACGCATGGTCCGGGGTTCGATCCCCGGCCGACGCACTCCTTTACCTCGCCAAGCCGGAAATAATGCTGGTGAAGAGGAAAGGTTGGGCATGAGGCTAGCAACCCCATCCTGTAAAATGAACACTGCTACAGAAACTTCAAGCCACTAGCTGGAAGCCCTATGTTCCACTGGGAACGTGAAGGAAAAAAAAAATTACCATTCTTCATAATTTCAAAAACCTTTCACCACTGACTGTTTTACTTTTTAAAATTCTTTATAAAAATCAAGGTGCCTCAAGAAGGTCAACAATGCATTAAAAAAGCAATGGACTGGTTAGTACTGGCCGGGAAACTTTGTGAACCTAATAGGTTGGATCTACTTCAAGATATTGATGAAGCTTATACAATACAACCAGTTATACCGATAAGCACACGTTCTCGATTGATAATTTGCTGGTTATCAGCAAGACAACTAATCTCCAGTCCACCAGTACACAAAGGTTTGTTTCCAATGGATCTCCAAGGTGATAGCTCAAGCCATGGTGAAACAAATTATACATCTGATTCTGAAGCGCAAATGCGTAAAATGTCACTAAGTAACCAAAAGGAAGCACAAATTTATGTGGAGACATTAGTAACACGAACATTATTAGCTGTTCATTCTTTATGGCTTACACATAAGTCGAAATATATTTCTGAATGGCCGGTATTGGTATCGAAACTTATCGATGAACAAAGTACGCAGACAGTGGCGGAGCCATCAAAACAAATCGAAACACTGGTTGGATTTAAAGATGCACCATCACTAACAGAGGTAACTGTTAATTTCTCCCCAAAATTGACGATGCTTCAGTGTTGTTGAATTCCTTCTTAAACTGAGCACAAAATAAGCCCTCCTTAAAAAGTTTTATACCATAACTGAAAACACCCATAAGATGTTTAGTAATCCATATCATGGATTTGTGATGCTGCTGTGGCCTTAAGAAGTCTTTAAGACCTACATTTTATCTTCTTCCTTCTTGTTTGATTCTTATTACTCTTTTCCCTAACTAGCGTTTTATGTTAAAACTACTATCCCTCTCCTGATTCGAATGGCTTTTTGAGTGTTTTAAAAGCCTCATTTCATCTTAGAGTACTGACAGTGTGATATGTTTAACAGATACAGAATTTCATCCAGAGCTTAAACTAGATTTAAGCATTTTTACCAGAGATCATTAATTGTTCTTTAAGTAGTGAAGTTTCTTACGGTAATGTTTTTAAAACAACACATACGTGAACTGTTTAGTTGTTGAAAGTACAAATGCGGAAAATGCAGCCAGAGATAATTTACACTTCACACAACTGCTTAGCCAATGCAGCGAAACATAGAAAATATTACCGCTTGATATCTGAAGTATCTTTAGAAATATCTTATCTGAAAATGTCATCACTTATTTTTCAAGTACTTTTCATAAGTAATTGGGAATTAGTATTCAGCTTCTTTTTTAACGAATATGTGTACTGATGACAGTACAATTAGTGAAATCCAAGTCAATATAATAATAATACCTATTCATGGGGTGATAACTCTGACAAATAGTTGTATACTGATACCCATTTATTTAAAATTAACTTCTTTTTCAAGGCTATGTGTTTAATGCAAACAGCATTTTGCGGGCAAAAACCTAATGTACAAATAGAACAGCCCACTGGAAAATCAAATATTACAAAAGAACAAAGTAAAACCTTAGTCAAGTATGATTTACGATTGGACCAGTCAACTGCAGAACGTTATGTAGAACTTGAGTTGTGGACACGTTTGGCTATGATCGCATTTCTAACATCACAGTATTCAACTATCTTAGATATTATTGACTTGGCCAATATTCGAAAAGAATTAACCTGCAGTATCAGTCCACAACATCAACAACAATCTAATGTAGACAACAATTACTGGTTAATTCAGTTACTGTGTCTACGTGGTTTAGCTATGTTTGGCATATCGAATCAAATGAAAATTGTTCGTCAACAAAATCTAAAATCCGGTGGGAAATATAATCAGCAACAACAAATGCAGCAACAGACACGTGGTAAACAACGTTTAACAGATGTTAAATTTAAATGTGTGGAACTTCTGGTTAGAAAACAAAGAATAAATACTAGCAGTGAAGATAGTCAAACAGTGGAGAGCAGTTTATTTGAAGCAGGTGAAGAAGCTTTTTATGAAGCTTCTCGGTAAGTTGTTTTCCTTTACTACTTATTCTGTAAATCTGTTGGAAAATAAGCAGAGAGTTAATAAGATAGACATCATAGTTTCACTGACTATTATGCTACCTAAGTCATGTGTAAATGGTGAAGGTATTCTGTTCATGTATACTAGTAGTCAACTAATTTGATAAAGAAACTTAGTATTGCTACAAAAGCTCCATTACTTTGTCTAACCTCTGCAATTTAACACTTGTTCTATATTTGATAACTATTATCTTATATTGAAATGTAAGATGTTTTAAAATTAACCAAATTCTTTATAAATCAAAGAAATTCGTTCTATTCAAGTGTTGGTTTGTAGGGATTTGATTGGTTACAGGATTTTCACCATGTGCTGACATTAGTTAGAGAACCATTGGAAAACCTGGGAGTACTGGACAGCTGTTTCGTCCTAGTTTGTGACTCGTCAGCAGTACGAACCCACCGCCAGGGTTCGAACCCAGGTCCTTCTGGTCACAAGCCGAGCTCGTATATCATTAGGCCACTGGGACCCGATCCAATGACCCATGAATTCTAACTTCTGCCAATTCACGACATAGCGCGACCCCTAGCCAATGTCCTCGGCGAGTATTTGTCCTCACACCCGACCTGCTGCACCCTACTGGTCACGACTTCTCACTAGAACCCCAGGTAACTACCTACCTTAATAGGGCAAGTCGCTAGTGAGCATCTCACTGATATTCAAGTGTTGGTTTGTAGGGATTTGATTGGTTACAGGATTTTCATCATGAGCTGACATTAAACATGACAATAAATGAAGTTCAATAAATTATGCCCTTAGGTAATCCTCTTACTGTATAAGCATGCGTACCTGTTTGAAACGCGGAAATAACATTTACCATAGTATTTAATTCAAATTAGTGTAAAAATGAGGTGTTTGAGATCTATAACCAGATTATGAATCAAATTTTGTCCGATGATTTCTTTCAACTATGAGATCGTTTCTGAACATTGTTTGTTTATGTCATGCGTGGTTACTGCAAGTTCAGCTGACTTTTTCTCTATTCAAACAAAGCAACTGGCTGTTTTATGCCAACGTAAATTCTCTGGTGTGGATTAGAATTCTTTTGCACATAATAACGATCGAATTTGGTTTATTCGCTTATTGATTTACAGGTTAACAGTGATATACAGTTTTCATTCATGTTTAAAAGTGATTCCAATATGATCACAGAACATTAGTCACAGTCCTATAAATCCGATTGGGATTTTACTAAATGTAATGGAAATTTATTTATTTTTTATTTTTGATTACAGCTTGATGCCACACCGTATTTTTGGTACAGGTATGGCATTTTCAGCATGTAATATCAGTAGCCCGACCATAGATATCGGGTGTGCGTCGAAAGGGGATCGAACTCCGGACCATGTGCATGGTCGGCGAGAGTCCTAACCACTGTGATTTCTTCATTTTTACACATAAATAGTTTAATAAAGTAAACGGAATTCATCTCATTCGTGAATAAACTTGCGATTTACAAAGCTGAACATACTTTCTTACATGCTGTTTAAAACCTCCAAAACTTGTTTTGCTAAATATAATAGTTGAAGATGAAGATTATTCGAAGGCATCAGATTTAGCGCAAACGTTTTCTTCGCAGAAAGTTATTTTAAATTCAAACGTTCTGGCATTGTCACTGATCACTGATTACAACTTCAGACTCGCCTTAATTCCCGTACAATTCTCAGAGTTCATTGTGTTTTTTTAATCCAAAATCTGCATATTTTCTTATGGACTTAAGGAAGTAACAACTGAAGGAAGATAAATAGAATCTGCCTTATTCCTTCATTATCTTGTCAAGAAAATACCATCTGCATTATCAGAATAAACGATTATCTCGCAAATAGTACACACTTTGAAGATGCAAAATATGGAACAGTAGCTGAGAAATTACCATAGCACACTGATAGATCATAACTGACAATTCCATGAGGTGTCTTAAAACATACAGTTGGTCGCTATCCAATGCAAAAAACGTTTTCTTGAAGATAGTGACAAGGGCAGCAAGAAGATATTGATATCTGTGTTGAACGCACAGATTAACTAAAAATATTTTTTAATGTAGTAAGTTAATCACATTCAGCCGGATCAAGATTACAAAAATACATAGGGGGGGGCAGTAAATGACAACGCAGTTAATAGTAAAGACACTAGCATTACTACTTAAGGAAAAGAAATAATATTAAGGTTAAGAGTCAAGAGCCATGTTGATATAATGGAAAAGAGTCCGTACAACTTCCTTGTAGACACAATGTTTGAGGTAATTAGTTACGATAGAGTCAGCTATGTTTGCTTTTTAAACAAAATGAAAGGAGTTTATGCAGTGATATATATCGTGTCTCCATTCAGTCATGAAAAAACAACAGTAATATCATCATCGTTTCTAACTATTGTGACTCACAGGCTCTCTTTTTTATTTCAAACTTTCAAATTATCATGAAATGTAGGATTGCTTACAAAGCAGGACGTTACGATCTATTAGTTATGTCAACATCATTATACTGGGCGTTACTAAATCATCCCACTTTATCATCATCAAGTCAGATAACTCAAGTTTTGCAAAAAGTACAATCGTTCGACGACAAAATTCATAATCTAACTAAGTGGCTAAGCCACTGTCTAAAAATTGAGGTTAGAAATGAATTGGCTACGCAAATTCGAAATGATGAAAATAAACAAGACAAATCAACAGATTTATCCATGGTGAAAATTGAATCTGTTTTGATGGATTCAATGAGAACCATGAAAGAAGGTATGTGGTGTTTTTATTATATTTATTGACAAATAGAAGTTATGAGTGCATACATTTAAAAACATTTCGTAAGATCGTTTCTGTTAATGATCTGTAGATTAGTCACAACCTGCAAAGCAGTTCTCCTAAACGACCCAGCAATTAGTATGATAAAAAAATGGAGCAACTAACCTGACCACTGAAACTATGCAGACTGTTGCCACAGTCATTTTCGCGATAACTTCTTGTTTCTGGTCATAGACGAGTCATATTAACAACTAGATAGTACTGGGAAGGTATTTTAAAAAGTCATATTCTCTCCATCAAGTTAAATAATTTTAATTAACTAATTAATAAATAGCTTTATTCTGAACAAAATGTTTATAGTAATTTATCGCATAATATCTTCTACTCATCCACGATCTTCAGGTAAAGTAGCAGTCTACAGCATATCATGTGATGTGATGCTCTTAGATATGAAAGCATGAACTAATCCCTTATTATATTGTTGCTTCCTTTCCGTGAAATGCTCACTGGAAGTTTGAAAGTCAGTCTAAAAGTGTACGTGAGGACAGTTTGAAACTCAGCGACATAACTGAATGGTTAAGACAATGAGAATTACAGGAAATATGATGCACTGTTTGGTTGCAGGATTTCATCATGAGCTGACATCAGTTGGAGAACCACTGGGAAACCTGAGAGTACTGGAAAACTGTTCCGTCCTAGTTTGGGACTCTTCACTGGTGCGCACCCACCACCAGGGTTCGAACCCAGGACCTTCTGGTCACAAGGCGAGCTCGTAGACTATTAGGCCACTGGGACCCGATCCAATCACCCATGAATTCCAACTTCTGCCAATTCACGATATAGCGCAACCGCTAGTCAATGTCCTCGGCGAGTATTTGTCCTCACACCCGACCTGCTGTATCCTACTGGTCACGACTTCCCACCCCCCTGAATAGGACCAGTCACTAGTAGGGATCTCATTGATATTCAAGTATTGGTTTGTATGTATTTGATTGACTGGTTACAGAATTTCATCATGAGCTGACATCGGTTAGAGAGCCATTGGAAAACCTGGTGGCTGCGTACTGTTAAAGAGTCCCAAACCAGTACTCCTAAGTTTTCCGATGGTTCTCTAACTGATGTCAGCTCATGATGAAATCCTGTAAGCAGACAATCAAATCCCTGCTATCCAATATTTGAAAATGATACATTGTGTTAGGTAGCCCAGTGATTCAAGCAGTTGATCACTTCAAAGAAAACCACTTAAAAATATTCCCAGAAAATAGCCTCCATTATGTAAAAAAAGACAGTTTACTCGTTGACTGAAGCATATCATTCTGATTACTTTATGCTAATTATAATAACAACAATCGAACGATAAATACACTGCATAAAAACGTATAATAGTCATTGTTAGTTGGGAAGTTTCTGCGCACAAATCATTCGAAAAACAGAAAAAGAAGGAGGATCAGAAACAAATGAATTGTTACTTGGTGTTTGTGGACTGAAAAATATTGTAAGAATATTAAATGAATCCCTACTTATACTATAAACTCATGATATTTTTGCCTCTAGGACAACACAGAAATCTCTGGGAAACACTTAACTGGTTTCTGTGATACGTTACAAGTAGTAGCAACTAAAATTAGGATAACAGGTTATTGTCTACACGGTTCAACTTTTGTGCATTCCATTCATTTTGTTTCATCCAGTTAGGTGTAAGGAAGTTTTCACGAGTTGATCACGGATTGATATCAGTTAGATAACCATTGAAAACCAGGGAGTCCTGGATAGCTGTTTCATCCTAGTTTGAGAACCATCGGCAATACGCACCCACTGTTGTTGGAACCCAGGACCTTCCGGTTACAAGGCAAGCTCGTATACCATTCAGCCACTGGGACCCGATTCATTGGCTGATGAATTCTAACTTCTACCAATTCGTGATTTAGCGCAGTCCCAGTGGACGCGTACTGCCGATGATTCACAAAATAGGATGAAACAGCTGTCCAGTACTCTCTGGTTTTTAATGGTTCTTCAATTGATATCAGCCCGTGATCAACTCGTAAAAACAAAACCAATGCTTGCAAACCAAATTTAGTAAGGAAGTTTGTCCTGTGTAGTAGATTTCTTCATAATATGTGACATTTTTTCATAATAATATGTGACACATTTGAACTGATAAACAGCACATCGAAACTGTAAGAAGTTTATTTTACATTTTATGATAAAATTAACCATGCATGTCAAATAGCCTGTGAATCTAAAGGATATAATTTTATTGGCTGTCATGTTTCTTTCATTTCTGTCATTTTTTTTAGTTTCAAGTTTATACGAGACAGTAGCCGTAATCCCATATCCGACAGTGACTCAGTTTGAAATGGATTTACAACTGCGAGTGAATATGTTTACAGCTCTGTATGATTTGTATTCTGAACAGGTAATTTTCTAAATCAGTCGTTGGGTATGGGTAGGAATGCATTATGTAAAATGGAGTAGTAGAGTGTATACTTTACATTACATCACCGTAGAATAGATGAACGATAGAAATTTCTATTTTGGTAAAACAAATAAAAATAGTATATTGAGGTTAGTCTGATTGCTTGTTACTCTTAGAAACTAAGTACCATTTTACATCGGAGTGACATGCGTTGGAAATGAAAAGCCTTTATTGGTCAGAAGACTATTTTAACGAAAATTTTAAAATTAAAACCTGAAGCAGATTTTGTTGAAATACTAGCTGGCAAGCAAGATCCTTATGTTTAAGTAAACATTATGAATGCCAAAGTATCTTAAAAGAGTTAGACTGAGAGGCCAAAAAGCTGAGTTATTCCTGTTCACATAGATTAACCGTTCTAGAAACTGAACCGATAAGCAGAGCGAAATTTGACAGTAATTTTGGTAGGAAAACATTTTCGTCGAGCTAATGTATATAATAAATATTTAGACCGTTCGAAGATGTGAAATAATAAATAAACTAAAATTCAGTCACATCGACACTGAATTTCTAAAAAGCAGCTCTGTAAAATAGCCAGTGAATCTACAATGAAATACATCAGATTTATTTCCACATTGATCTAGACGTTACAGCTGGATACAATATCTGAAAGGAAAACGAAAGTTTAGCAAGTAAAGCGTCCATTTCAGAGAACACAACGACACCGAAATAATCCATTTCACTTAAAAATCCTCGCTATAATTTTATTTAGTTTCAAGGAATTCTGATGTTTTCACGTTACGTCATACTCCTTAAGAAGAATCTATTTTCTTACATGACAGAAAATTAGTAACAGTGGAGTAATTTTTTAATGTTAGGGTAAAATGAGTACTTTCTGATGGATGTATCAACTGTAGACACAGTTGAAATCACCTTACATTTAGAACTGTTTAACTGTCCTACAGTAGTGGGCTCTACCATGATGTTTTTGTTAAATTTATTTTATTATTTAACTACCACAAAATTAACTTTAGTTTTGCTGAAGTATCTGAATTAATTATTTCTTTTAAACATTTTTGAAAGGGGAATTTCACCAAGGCACTATCAGTATTGGCTAAAGCTACTCAAAACCTACCACGTACAAAACATAGAATGTAAGTGTACTTAGATGTATTATCATGTGTTTTAACTTAAATTTAATAGCTTTTTCTAAGAAACAGGATGGCGAACTCTAAAAGATAACTGTTTTACTCACTTATTTCAGCACAAAAGGAAGATCCTGTTCCAAATCTAGTCTAAACAAAAAATAATGAATAGCTTAAAATGTTGTCTATTTCATAGCAACATCAGTAGGTATTGTATATGACGGTTAATCATTAAACTGTGCCATAATCAGAAAGTGTGACGTCTAAGCATCCAGCCCTAAGCAATCCACTTTTTTTTTACATCTTCTCCCTATTTAGGTCACTATTTCGTCAACTTGTCATCACAAAAGCTAAATTAGGCCAATCAGTAGAATTCGATATGCAGAAATTTACAGTAAGTTACAAATTAACATGACAATAGTGATTTTTATATTTTCTGTTTCTTTCGGTTAGAAACCTTTAAAACTAAATTGATAGAAGTATAAAACTTGGGCACTGTGGTAGAGTATAACTCCATTTTAGATAAGATTTTATTTTGATAAGTCACACAGTGTTACACAGTAATATTAACTGATGACATTTCGGGCACAAATTATTGCCCATAATCATATCAAACAAAGTAGAAGGACAAGCTTCCACTGAGGGCCTCATCAATGTGCATCTACCAATTCACCTGCTCATGTGGAGCTAGGTATGTCGGCCGTACCCAGCGTTTGCTATCCAAACGAATCAGCGAACACTTACCTTCATGGTTTTACAAAGGAGAAAGAAGATCCCCCCACCACAGCTCTATCCTAGAACACTTGATCGAATCCGGACACCAAGCAAACCCACAAAACAACTTCTCAGTTATCTACACAATACGTGGGAATCTTGCCAAAAGAGTACGAATTAAACTTCTTCAAACTGCAGAAGCAATGGCAATTCACATATTGAATCCTGAACTCTGCATACAAAAGAAGTTTGTTCAGTCACTAAATCTACAATGGTCCTGATCTATCTCAACACCAAATACGTAATTTTGTCTTACCTCTTTCTTCTTTGTTTGTCTGTTTCTTAATTGCATTATTTTCTACCCCACCCTCTATTAAATCTCTACCCTCATGACGACTGTTGCTAACTCCATTTTCGTTTATTTTCAAGTGAATTCTACTCAGCTTATTAACCTAACTCTCATTCATTTTCAAGTGAATTCTACTCAGATTATTAACTTGACTCTGATTCATTTTTCATTGAACCCTAGCAATTAGATTACGTCACCCAACCTACTTTTGTAACTTTATTTTAGTTTCTAACCGATTAACGCCTTCTAAATTACGTAATTTGTTGTCAAAAATTAACAATTGCATTAACACATCTTTGGAAATATTCCTTTTGTTGCCAAGAAAAATTACTATAAATTTGCGGTTTGTACAGCTTGAGAATGATATCGCCGAAAAGAGTAACTCTTTGCTGAACGCCTTTTCTTTTCTATGACTGAATGGGAATTTTCAAATTACTAAAGTAGAAATCACTGATGATGTAAAACAGAACAGTCATAACCAAGCTTTGACATCTCACGGTTGACCAATTAAGTTTAAATTTAGTCGTTAATAAACCACACAGTATCCTGAATTTCATCTCTAACTTCAACAGAAGTTATCTTAAGCAGTTAAAAGTTTGACTGAAGTATTGCTATTTTAACATAATTTCTTTCCGCCCAAACTAGTTGGTCGTGCGTTGATAATCAAGAGGGTTTTCGAAGTTATGTTGAAAATCACTAATCACCAGTTAAATGCCCGTAGTTAGTGATTAATGTTGTTTACTCTTAAAATACAATAAAAGAAAGGCATTTCTACATCCCTAACTGACATCCTTTTTCAGTGTAGTGCTGTATAGTGACGAAATTCGTATTTTATGTCATTGACGATATAATAATACTGCCGATCTGTAGATTCAAAAACAATACTGATTACCGATTTTTCTGACACCACAAAAATGAGGACAGAAGACAGATTGGTCCGTGCTGATGTGAGTGATCCAATTTTTATCATACAAAAGTACATTATATACAAATATTATAAGCCATGGAAAATTATACCAATGAATAACTAACTGAATTATTTGCATAAGTTCAGGCTTCAAGGATGTTCAATCGCATTATGATAGAAACTGTCTCGACCCAATGGTTTTACTCATCGAAACTGGTTTAATCCGGTTTAAGCCATCTTAGCCGGTTTTAGCTGCTTCCTATCAGCACAAAACACAAGAAAAGGTGACTGATAACTGAAAGAAGCACTTAAATCATATTCAGGTATAACTGGAAGTGGAATTTAGGGATATTCTGAGATAAATATACTTGTTCTCTTTAGAATTATTATTTGGTATCCACGATTTCAAGAGCATCACAATATCAACCTAGATTGTAAAATTACAGCAACCACCAATCTCCGATAAGTGGCAGTTGCAAAAAGTAGCTTCAGTTATCATGTTTTCACTTTTATAGATACCATTATATTGTCTTGGGTCAGTTTTATTGCGTGAGATACTGACTGTTGATGAGATTCACCCTTATGATATATTTCCAAATATAAGGTAGATATTTTATTATTCACAGCTGAATAGCTTTATTAAAACTTACTTTGTACTCTGTACAAAACAAAAACAAACAAAAGAATTTGGAGCGATAAAAATTCATTTGTGATCATACCATTTAATTGTAAAATAATGTACATAAGCATTAGTTGGTTATTGATGGCTAGCAATGGGATTTACAGCGTGCGCTGAGTCCTTTTCAGGAATTGTTAGCTGGATATTTCTTCATCTTGATCAGCTATGGTGCGCCAACTGTAATGGAAATCTAAAATTGGTTTCAATAAACAATTTTCCTTAAAATTCGGCGAAAAACCCATTAGAATTATTTGCATAATGTTAGCATATCCAAGTGAATCATTAAACTCTAAGAGGAGCTAAGCTGAAGGCAAACGGTTGATGGAATACGGTTAAAAACAGAAGCTTGACGTAGAAAGCGTGAATATGACAGCCCAAATTTACTCAAACAGATAGAGAAGTAGGAAAATAATAAAGCAAGTAGGAAGTAGTTTATATTTACCAAAAATGTATAGTAGTCTATTAATGAGTAATAGGGGTGACATAATTGATATAATTACTCAGAAGTGGCTTTAGAAGTAAGAAATAAAAGCTGTAAATTACGTGGTACTCAACAGGGAACGACTAGAGGAGGTTAAGACCAATGTAGAATAAGAGACTGGACAAAATTTTTCTGTATACAAAGTTCGGGGCGGCTCCGCCGAACTTTGGTCTTAACCTCCTCTAGTCGTTCCCTGTTGAGTACCACGTAATTTACAGCTTTTATTTCTTACTTCTAAAGCCACTTCTGAGTAATTATTAGTCGTTCCCTGTAAAATATTTTTTTTTTCAATTTTACTTTGAGTTTGCTTTTACTTCAATAATTAATTCACTATTATCATTTTCATATGTTCCTTTTGTATATTTTCACACCCTCTTCACACTTGTTAAACTGACACTCACCTACCTTTATTTTCACTCAATAACAATTTTAATCTTATCAAATTTCTAACTTTGTGCCGTTGAGTACCACATAATTTACAACTTTTATTTTTTTACTTCTAAAGCCACTTCTGAGCAATTATATCAGTTATGTAACCCCCTATTACTCAATAAAAAATAGTTTGTTTTGTATTTTCAACAAACTACTCTAGATGTGATAAAGTGATTGAGTGTATCTAGCGTTTACAAATGTAGAAACGAAGTTTAAATTAATAAATTTCTGTGTTCAAGGCAAAGCAGGAGTCTTTCAGCAAAGTTTCGAGAGAGCTATCAGGGGAGAACAGATGTCTGTGGACATCAAGAAGCCTGGAAATGGAGCTGCCGGTACTTTCTTATTTGTCTCCTCTGACTAACCAAGTTAGAGCTATTTCAAAACAACTATACAGAATTGGTGTTGTGCATAGAAGATGTACTTTTTACACTATGAAAACTGACAAATGACATTGTGTAACTTTTTAACCTCTACTCAAGACCGCTTACCACAGTTCAGAAGTTGATTTAGTTCTAACTAACCATATTCTTATACCTTATTGTTTATAAATATCATTTTGTTTGTAACCTAGTAACCAGTTCAATATCTTTAAGGAGAAAACATAGAACAATGATATCTAAACCACAATTAATACCTGTCAGGCTAAATGTTTCTCTCTTCGTCCTGCGGCATAGCAAATAGCTTCAGAGGTTTTAAAGCAATGGTGACTGTATTTCCTGTCAGAATGGACTCTGTTACATGTACGTTACAGAACACTCACACTAGATCGCACTGCTAGCTACCAGCGAGCAAGTGACATCAGTAAATGGACAGAATGATAATTCCTATGACAAAGCAATTTCACACAGACTTACCGGCGTTTTGTGCAAAGTAAAAAACGTGTACATTAGTTTCATGCGATAAATTTAAAGCGATGAAAGTTGTTTCTGTTCCACTCTGTGAGTTTATTGGATACAAGACTACCAGAAATTCTTAGTCGCTATGATGTGCTTTTTGTTTATATATATTTCAGTCTGAATCTGAGCCTTTACAAGCGAAAATTTGGAGAGAAATAGCTTACGCTAGTTCAGATGTCAATTTTCAGGTGAAAGCTTTTAAACAGTCGATTGATGCTATAAAGGTAAATGATATATATTATTTCACTTGTGGTGTATTATATACTTAGGAAGCTTTCTTTAATAAGTCATATACTTTATGAAATATATATATTTTTCGTAAAACAGTATACTGCCAGTTTTCTATTTCTGTCCTGTAGTTATGAGCATTCTCTCAGACTGAATATTTTATCACCACCATTGGCGAATTCTTTGTAAACATGAACTTTCTAATGATATGATTTTCAGTTGCGCTGGAAACTCAATCTCGAAAGGATCATTTTATTTTTACTTTAGCAGAGTATCATAGAATAAATCTTATTACAGTTCAAGCTGCTTAACAGAAGACAGTGAGTTTCTCCATTTAGCTTGGAAATACAATTTTCAGGGTATGGCTCAGAACAACTCAGGTGATATTCCTACACTGTCTGATGAATTTGAAATTATCTTCTGATAACATCAGAAGGCATTTCAAAATAGAGTCACTTCTAATAGTCAGTGTCAACAAGACATATCTGCAACAGTGAAGGAAGTCATGTTTCCTACGAAATTCCAATTTTAATCACTCTCTCTAGAGGTCATTAATGTAAGCACAGAGATAGGCATATAGAAAATAGTCCCATTAGAAGTGTTTTGTATGCCGATGACTCACTAAATTATGTCATATTTTCCAACTAAAAAACAGTACTCATTTGTCAGTCAGTTTTTAAGTACTTTATAAAGCATTTCTGTTTTGTTGGTATATAACTATTTGAACAAAGTGAATGTTTTTAATGGTATCAGTTTCGCAAGAAAAGGTTTTTTACTGTGAATGTGTATAATCGAAGGAGTTCACAAAAGAGCAAGTAGGAACCAAACTGTTATTTTTACACCGAAGCTATCCTACTCGCTTTGAAGTATTCGATATTAAGTATTATACTACACTATACCGCCACCACAACTCCAAATAATCGTGCAGATAAAAAGAAGTAAATTCAGGGACTTGGAGAGTGATTAAATCTAATATGCAGAATTTAGCAAAACGTTCAATATTCACCTAGATGGCTAATGTGGGAATAATTAAAAGTAAAAGACTAGCAGAGGTTATAAAGAACTGAGTATTTTGGTCTGCTGGAAAAATTGTACCTGTTCATCATAGCCATCCTCTGACATGTCTAAATTATAATAGTCAGGTTCCTCAGAAACAGGATTATTACTGGGTTGGTATTTCAGAAGTCCTTACTTGATTTAGCTTACGGCATGACATCATGTGAAAGCACTCTTTTTCCTAAATATATTTGCGCACCTTATATATTTCAAAGTTTGATATTTTGAAGAAATTTATTAAAAGCTACAAAAGTGATATCTTCTGACTCAACCTAAAGTGGGTGCCAATAATTAGGGGCTCATTAGTGCTTGAATTCAACTCCCCTTCCTGTTCATTAATGTCTGGACATATTATTATTGCTACTAATATGTAGGTATTATTTCTTTAGAATCACCTCCGACTCCCTCAGTGATTCTGGAAACCTTGAATACATTTCAACTTGGCATCTGTTGATATAGCTCTCAAGTCCTTAATATCTAACAACAACTCTACTCGCTATCGAACATATTTTGGCTGAATTATCTGTTACCCAACAGATAATTCATCTGCATTGTCCAACCTTGTCATTTGAAATTTGTAGAATATGCAGCTTGATGGGGAGATTTAAATGAAAATAAAAAGCATAGTTTTGAATGCTCAAAAAGATTTCAGTTTCTTACTATTTTCAGGTACTTCTCATTGCTCAGCATCAGTAAACAAAAAGCTTTGCTGCAACGGATTTTCTTATTCACTAACTACTAGCTTTCAGTGCTAAGACTAAGCGTTTTAGGTCCAACATATTAAAATTTAAAATCGTCAATCACCTGTTTTTCTCAAATTTCTGCTATACAGAATCCTACTTATTGGACTTTGAAATCTGAACTATTGTTAGAATTTTCACAGTGGTTATTTGCACATGGGTTTGAAGTGCCTGTATGCATAAGTCTGGCTGAAGAGGCTATGGACTTACTGGGAGATGTTTGTGCCAGAGAGTATGACCAAAGTCAGTTTAAAGAATTGAAGTACAGTAAGCAAAACTTTGTTCTTTTATTTTCATTAAGACTCACGCCAATTATTTTCATTTTAAAAGTATCTTAATCAACGGTATTTGGCGGTTTTTGTAGTAAAGTGATGCTATTTAGGCAATGACTAATAGCCACAGAGAATGAACGCTTTTGTCAACATCTTCTAACTGCCTGTTTCAGTGTCTTAACGCAGTGAGTCACCTAGTTTGGTGGCCTTACTACAAATTTGATTGAAGGATTGCAGTCTGCACCAACACCAAAATATCCATAGCAATCCTACAGGAGGTCATCCATGAGCCCAAATAGCTCAGTGGTAACGTTTCTAACCGTAGAAATGGGTACAAATCTCAGAGGGGACATCAGTTCCTTCGGGGTTGCAAATGCACCTTGTTGATGAGTGGTGAGAAGCACGAAATACAGATCCAAGGCTTCCTGCCAACTGCCTCCGATCATCTAAAATCAATAACAAGACTTACATGTTAGAAATTGCCAGATAACATGTGAAATCAGAACTAATATATGGTAGTAGCATTGGGGGACTGCAAAAAATTACATTACGGAATTTCCATAATTTCTCAGGGGCAGGAAAAGTTATTATGACACTGGTTTTGATACCATAAGTTTGTTGTGACTTAAGTATTTAGGCAGAATGACATATGAATAAAATATATGCCTTTCTTTCAAGAATACAATATTCTTTATAATCGTTGATAAAACTTATTGAAGCTATCATCCTTCCGGAAACTGACATTATCATAAGCAAGGATAATTAAAATATAAAATGAATAATATAATAGAAATGTGTGAATGACAGGTAATGTATTCAAATTTGAATTTGTTGGACCTACAGAAGCATAACAGATGATACCACATAGTCTTTATTCCACTGTTGTATAATACTTAAGTACAGTTATGAATAATTTTGGTTTCACCTCAAAAGGTGAAGAGGAGAAAGGTTCTGTTACTGTGGTGGCATGATACAGACAATGTGTTCAAACAGAATATTATTCTCACATATTCCCACAGTTCAATACTGTATTAGAAACAGAATACTATGTGTGTATTTGAACATTCTATTTCATGTCGTTTAATATAAACCAAAATCACACGCTCAGTGGTTGGTTAAAGAATATAAAATGTACACATATGAACAGCGGTTTGCTTAATTCAAAATATACGTTTACTCCCGTGTCTTGCCTCCTGATGTTACACTACGACCTAACCGGAAATATTAAAAATTAAAGGTTTCAAAATTATTTTTTCGCTTTGATCTGATGACATACAACTGATTGAGTATGAAGTGTTATGGAAAATACGAATAAAATATGAAAAGCTCCTACGGAATGGACGGTCTGTCAGTTTTCGGATTTGTGTCCCTCTAAGTGGAAGGAGGAACCTCATACACTCTCTTTCTTCGAGAATCTGCAAAATATGTACCAAATAACCTGTTGATTAGGAACTGCAAAATCCCTGACGAACCTTTATAGAAATTGGTTTCCCAACTAAATTCACAGACAAGAATCCTAAAACCAACGAAAATATCTGAACAGGTCCAAGTCACCCCATAAGGATGTTGATGCTTAATCGTGAATTTAAAAGTGATGCTGAAGCAGAAATTTTCTGTAAACGGCTTTCGAAATCTTTCAGTAAAACACACAGTCTACAAGTGACATTTTTTTACAAGAAACTATTCAGACAGCAAGTGAAAGAAAAGCCGTCGCCATTAGAGTAATGCTTGTTAAATCTCTCAGTGATGACTGAAAAGACAATGTACATTCAAAATTCATAAAAGTAGAAATTCAAAAATTGATACCCAAACTCTGTAACAACTATGTTTCTAGAAATTACTAGTGAAATTCAGGATGTGAGTTTTGTCATTTTGATTATTTGTTTGTTAGATCGATCTCTATTTCCGCGAGCAGCGCTCATTCAACTGAATAACTACTGTTTTAAGAGCACTGTATTACGCATTAAATCAATTATACAGCAAGTATCAATCAAGCAAAACTAATAAAATAGATAGCGGCGAAAAATTACCAACAAACAGAAATTATTTTCTATTCCAGAAGAAGTGTCTATTACAATCCAATAATCTAGCGTATAACAGTTACATGTTTAGAACCAAACGATCGGTGGAAAGGTTGTCTCTCAGTGAGTCACAAGTAAATCTAACCAATAATTTACCACAGAAAAGAAAACCTATGGATCCTGTTGACATCTACCATGACACCGGAAGGATAAGTCATTCTTCCTTAAAGCTAATGTAGCCGCAGAGACCGGTTAGTAAAGAATGTAAACAACATTAAGCAATACTTATAAATCATATTGGCACGCAAATTTGTCTGAAAAACAATTTTCATAGTTGAGAAGTACAAGTCATCCTTAGTGAAATTACAGTCTGCATTGAACAAGTGATTTCCAATTAAAATGACAAACTTTTCTTCTCTGTTACAGGTCAGCTGATATGTAATTCAAAAAATATTGAGTACTTAGATATTCTGATGAGGATATGCATCTTATTAGCTGAATTTGCCGAAGCTATGAATCCAGAAGTCAAAAACAAGCATACCTTGAATTCGCTAGATTATTTGATCATCTCTGTAAACTGTGTTAAGAATATCTTAAACGTGAGTTAAATATTTTCATGGATTTGTCAGCTTAATCATTTAGGCAGACAACTAGGTTTAAAAAATGTTTCATCTGTTATTTCATCAAGAAGTTAGTTTTAGTCAGTTAATAGGATCCGATTGTTTGAACTCTCACTATACTTTCATTAGGTGTGTTTGGGGTGTATCAACCCACTGAGGGTGCTTTTTTGCTCAATAAAACAACAGCGAAAATTTAGTTTTCTCCAATTTATTTTGTAGGAACATTTGCACTTGTGAGAGTAACTTAAAGTAATCCGTTTTGTCATCGTTTTGAAAGCGATAAGGTGAATGAAGCATACATTTGCTTTGTTTTTGTGTAGTGATTCCTACTAGTTAATTATCGTTAGCAAATACCAAAAAACTGCATTTAATTATTTGAGGTATACCCAGACTAACCAGTGATTTAATAGTCAATATTTTTATCAAGGTAGATGTTCCACTTCTTATATCATTGTCCTAACAGAAGGTTAGCAATTAATATATAGCTTAATTTTCTTTGTAAATTTTGGATACAAACCATTCGTTTTAAAGTCACTGTTAGCTTGGTTTCCATTCATACTAATTAATTAATATACATGTGAGAGATGTGTAAATTCATCCTTAAAAGATCAAATTAAAATGGTTCAACCGTTCTACTTTCTTCCCTCTTCCCATTCTAAAACAGCTTTCCGTGGCATCAATTGTAGAGAGTCCACGAGTGGAACAAAGGTCACCAAAAAGTCCTAGATCCATTTCAGTTAAGTCAAGATCGAAATCAAATATTCAAGGTGGCGGTGAAACAAACCGCGGAAAACAAACTGTAAGTGAAAAATATGCTATTCAATTTGTCAGATAGATTATGTGATGGGACAGTGTCATCGCCATACCTTTTGGTCTAGCTTAAATAATTCTCATACAGGTTCTTGTTTTATTGCAGGTGCAAGAGAAATTACCCGCCACCTGACACACGTTCATTTTTGTTGTTTGTGTTTAACTTTTTAATTCAACAAAACAAGTTTCACTAACAAATATCTTATTTTGCCTAAGAAAACTAGTTTTTCTAATTTCTACTACTGTATCTTTCTTGTAACAGTTTAGTGTGCTATTACATTTACAACCTTGGTTTTCCATCTGCATATTTCTAATTTCGTAATAAGCAAATTTGCTATGTTGCAGTGACATAAGTAATCGCAGTCAATTGCTCTGATATATTTTTTTCAGTTGCTAGTTTCATAAGTTCGCATTCTCTAACAAGTTTGTAGGTTACTTGATTACTCATCCTGATAAAGTCTTGAATCTTAAGTAAAATTAACAAAATCTCTTGCTCACAATTTGTAATTTGAGAGTTTTCGTCCACTTAGTAAACATTAAATGGAAAGAAGTGGAAGTATCTAACAGTGAACTGCATATTATACAGGTGTCATTTTATGATCATAAAATGAACTGTCTTATAGAATAAATAAGACTTGTTTAGAACAATTTCATAACTGTTTTCATATCACTGAATCTACATTTCCCGTCGTCACCGTTCAAAAATCTACTCAAACAACTGATTTGGCATTTATTGTAATGTATTGTAGTTATTCACGCTTCTGTATTCTTTTTTATCTGAATTACTACATGTATCGTAAAATTGTTTGTTAAAACAAGGAAGTTGTCTATGTGGTTTTCTGTGCGGTCGGTTCAGAAAAGACTCACATTGGATAATACTTCATAGAGTTCAGTGTCAATCAGTGTGCAAAGAGAAATATGAACAACATAAATCTACTGGCTATCTTTCAAGAAATTGGCTAAACGTGCAGTTACATTAACAGATGTCTTTTGGAATAATCGTATATCACAAAGCCAACTTCCGAAAATAACAAAAGGAAATACATTCCCATGCATGAAAACATCTGAGAAATTACTGGAATATTTCGAAATCCTTATGAGTTAAACTTACAGGACATGATTTTATGCTATATCAAAGAGAAGACAGGCTCAACAAAGCTTGCGAAGTATATTATAGTAGCTGACATAAACACTATCGCCTTCGTCTATACATTTATGAACTTCACCCAGTAGTTTATGCATCACTACTCAGACATGTTCATTTTAATGCACCTGACTAAATGTATAATACAGAGGATTTTCGGAAGCTTTGTTTTCAGCCTAAATGGCGGCAAACAGATGCATCAATTACTGGATCAATTTATCAATGAACGGGAAATACAAGAAGCAACAATAAGAGGTTAGATTAACAGGAGAGTCAATGAAAACATTTGTCCAGAAAGTTTCAGTTAGGTTGTTGAGAAAGCTTTGTCTCTGCCTATGAAGACAATCCTCCAAACCGTTTGTAAAACACAGGTCGTCTGTTTTTCTGAGTACTGGTGATGTCATCTTCTGGAATGACATTGAAAAATTCACCACGGTGTTCTTGATCATTTCTGTAACCAAAGTTACAGAACTGTGTTTCAGTTATTTCATCTCACAATGGTTAAAATCAAATGTTAGTTAGTGTAGGGATTTGTTGGGATAATTTAAATAAACGTCTGATTAAAATGAAAGTAACTATTCAAGGTCATTACACAAATTCTTTGATTTTAATTATTAGAGGCATCTGCATGCGCAATGTGTGGGGCCTTGATAAAAAATTGATTATGATACCTGGATGCATATAAAAGGAATAAATACGTAGAATATTTTCGTGTGGTTGTGTTTGCTGATCTGTGTGGTTTAGTTGTGAAGCCTCCATTGCCTTACTGACATAGGGCATACTTAAGTAACACATTGAATTTAGTTGGTAGTGGACAAGTGGCTGATGAAATTCAGTCAGTTACTGTAACTGAAGTTTCATCGTTAGACACTATACTTTCAAGGCGATTACTATCATGAGGACATTCTCTCCTCTGTTCCGTGAATTCCATGATGTCCAGGCTGATTGTATAATATTTACTGTCGAAAACCTGTTTTAAAGGATAAGTGACTTTAAAAAATTGGAGTTGTAAGGATTTCCTACAATAAGAAAAGTCAATTAGCAGGTTATTTTCGTGAAATAGAATACAGGGGAAATCAAAGTGTGTTTTATTTGTGTAAAAATATTGTTTTTGTCGCCAGCTGAATTTGCTGTCGTATGTTTTTCTTATTTTTTTCTAGTCTGAACCTATTCATAAGAAGATAATACCAAAGACAGTTGCTGAATGGTCTGTTTTTCAAGTGTCGGAGGACATTATACAGGGCTGGCACAAAAATTACACGGATTATGTTAATAAACTGATAGGTGTTAATCCGTCCGATTTAATACAAAGGGAATATTCTCGGTTAACTGAGATTTATTCATTGAAACAACAAATTAATCCAACTACTATTCGATATCCTGTAGGTTGGATGGTCACGTTTTGTCTTTTTTCCTTTCTTTAACATAACACTTTTTTCCTTATGAGAATGTGCCAAAATATAATAATTTCGGAAACTGACCTTATCTTAAAAAGTTTATCAACATACATCGATTGGCATAACATTTCGATTAATAAAATGATAGTTTCTTAGATGATCTAACGTATTTCACTGTTGTACATTGGAATAGCAATGAAATGGTGTCCAGCTGTGGAAAAAAAGCACCATCCTCAATGCTCTAAAGTCTATTTATTTCTCCTACAAGTTTCATGATAATATATTGAAATCTGAAGAAATAGTAAAACAGGATTATAACTCCTGTAGACTGAAGAGCTTTTATTCTAAGTAGATGAATTCTCTTTGATGACATTTTTAGGATATAAGTTTTGATAAAACTGTTATCTGCATACCATATGAATTGAATGCAATTTGTACTATGGATGTCACCATCACGAGGGAATACATCCTTATCTTGACCTGCATGTATTCACTACCATTTCAAGTTAATTTCTTAAAAATTTTTTTCCCTGATCAATGAAAAAAACATACGTCTACCTAGGTTAAGATGATGAACCTGAGATGTCTCAAAACAACAAATATTTAAAGAAAAACATTTTAGGGAGAACTCTGCAATTATGGATATGGAGTACATAAAACTTATAGTTATACACTAAGTAGGGTGTAGTTGATTCTACTAGTTAATGATGCCTTTTACAAGCAGTCTCACTTGACAAGCTAATCTCAATATGCTGAAATGGTGAAACACATTCACCGACTCCCAACTTTTAATCTGGTTTGTGAATTTAGTCAATGAGGTGTTTAACAAGCAACTTGGAGGTTGTTACTTCAAGTCTGGTCACAATTAAGGTCTCCTATCAACTTAAATTACAACTTCTTCAAGGCTGATAAATTCCAAATTGCATATACCTTGAAATTTTCTACCTTCAATATATGCAAAATAGTTGGTAGTTTCTTTTGAGTGCTTTTAAAGAACTAATCATATAGTGGGCTGATTAAGCCATCTTTCCTCTACGAATAGATTCTTTCTGTCTAGCATCAATATTTACCATTAAGTTTGGTAATAACGATAATTTGAGTAATAATGATGTAACACTGTAATATTAAAATTAAGAATTGAGTTAGGGGAATTTCAACTAATTCTCTACTATCTAGTCAGTAGTTCTTCTTAAAGATGGAGAAGTAAGTTCCAACTTATAAAATTAGGAGTCAACGTCTTCACTTGGTGGAAGGAGTTAGTTTTTAGAAATCTCTAAGTCCTTTGTTCATCGACATTCACAAACATGTCAAATCTCAGGAAATTTACTTTCCTTCGGGAATTCACTTGCACTCTACTCATTACTGAATTCAGTAAATTTACTGTAAAATCAATTAGATCATAATTGACCTCATATTGAGCTAGCTAATGTAAACGACTGGCTTATGTTGGTAACGGTTATGTTTTAAATAACCAATTTTGACTAGATTTTATCAAACAATAAACTTGTCTGCTGGATAGCTGAACCCCTGTTAGCGGGGAATACTATTATTTCTTACTAAATTGTATGCCTAGTTATTCCGTTCCTTTACCTTCTATGTGAAACATCATTAAATCACAAAAAAACATATTTATTTTTTTCATTTTAACAACTTATGAATAAAACGAATGATCCAAAATTTGAAGCTGGTAACAATGGCATCTCTAGATCGCTTACTAAATATGATTACTGAAATGGGTCCAGGTCAGCTTGGTTTTCCTGTCTTAGTCCTTCAGGACTGTATTTTGCGCAGCTGGGCAAGATATGATAAGTCATCTTCGTTGGCCAACTGTACCAGTGTCGGGAAACTAATTCATTTAAAGTAAGTTGCATAAGCGAATACATTTTGCTGATTACATTAGTATTACTTTGCAACTGCTTTCGTATTGTTTCCTTTACATGTTAGTGGCAAAACAGTAACCATATTTTACGGTAAAGCACAGTTTGAACAGATAACTAACACAACAGTCTTCCTATTTACATCCTTGGAAAGCACTAAGGTTCGTCGGATCTACCTCCTTCAAATCTTCGTTCTCGTTCAGAATCTCTTTCTTTGTCTGAAAGTTATTCTATTCACTATTTTAGCTATTTCAAACTCAGTCATTTTCACTCCTAAGTAAATTATCTTCACATTCACATTTTAACGGCCAAACTTTCTTACTTTCTTGATAACTCGTAATTTAAATAGATGTACCACTTCTGCCCATTATTACCTGCATTTCTCATTTAGCTAAGTTAACCTACTCACACAAAATTTATGCGAATTCACTTACCGAAAGCAAATCAAAAAAGGAGATATTACAGATCTGATAGTTTTTTCTGTATTATGATCTTTCTTAAACATACTGTTAGCTTTACACGGTCAGAAATTCAAATTCTACCTTTAGAACCAACTTGTTTCGTACGTGTTACTGAATTATTAACTATTTCATTGTTTGTGTGAATAATTTTCTAATAGCCACTGATTACTTTTTTTCTTATCACACCACAATAGATCAATGGAACTCTCTTGTTGTTTGGGCCTATTGTCTGGAGTAAATTACCATCAAAACAAATTGAATCCTTTATCACCCAATGAACAAGAGATAGCTGAGTAAGTATAATAATCTATGTATACAGTTACGAGGCGAAGATATTGGCTATTTGGATTGTTTAAGTGAGGTAGTAGACAGATTCACTGATAAAAAGCTTTTATTAACTGGCTAGTTCCAAACACTAGCATGATTTTTTTATTTTTATGATATTGTATACTGACCACCAATTCATTTACTTGAACTTTGATGATAACAAATGTCTACGGTGAGTAATGTTTAAAATTTGATTTTGCGGTCAGATGAGAAACCGCACAGTCAATTTTCTTGAATTGCCCACTCAATTATTCTAGGTGTCCACAGGCTAACAAAGAATGGTCTTTTTAGTCAAGGTAAAAAACGTAAAGAAATTTACAAGTTTCAATAGACAGCTGTTGATACCTGCAACACAAAAGGTAGCATTCATGATCCATCTGCATCTAATGGCTGTGTGATATATGTCTAGTTATTGTTGTTAAAATAAGTCGAAACCACAGCTTGTGCAAGTACATGCTTTAGCTTATTTCTTACTCGACGATATAAGAAGATAAATTTTAGAAGAAATGAGACTGTTAGGAACAAGGTGCTCTATCTACATAAGCTGTTCTCGTAAAGTGTAAAGCTACTTATTGAATTAACCTTAACTTTCAAAACTCTTAGCTCTATCGTGCATTTTGAATATCACACTTTCTGTATTCTTGATCTACAAGACTGTTTCTAGGGTGAAGCTCTCAAAGTGTGAGTCGGAATACAATCTTGGCCATAAGGGTGTACTCCTAGCAACGCATCTTATGAGTTAATCTCTGTCCTACTGATTTTTTTAAATCCTTCATTGATAGTGTTTGCCAATAAATAGAGGAAAAGTGTTTTCCTTTGAAGACTGGAGCACATATTAAGATTTCAGGTTACAAACATCATGAATAACCTGTTCAGGCTACATAGGTAGAATACTTGTATCACTAACCTGTGACATGTCTAGCTAATATCTAACTCCCAATAACAAAACCCATTTCAAAGACTCCTGTTTAATGGTTACTGTGAAAGGATGTGAAACTATTGAAAATATGCAGTTTCTATTACATATTTCTCCTTTTGTAGTCCTTATTTTTAAAGGCTGTGAAATCCCACTTCTACAGAATTATCGTGGAAATTGTACCCTGAAAAATGCTTATATATACATTATATATATATACATATATATATATATGAATTCTCTTTCACCTGCTTCCTGTCTAAAAAGAGACAGTTAAGCGATTTTCTTCAAGTGCCACTGATGTTTCTTGTCTAAATTTAAACAGGCATAGACTAGAACAAGCCACATCATTGCAAACTACCTTTGATGCTGTGAATGACTCATGAACATAATCTCCCAATTGGCTCTACATTAAATACCTACAAGTGTTAAGTTAGCTGTCCTGTGTTTTGCTCTGTTGCATCACTAAACAGCTGCAGTAACACATTTTTGTTAAATTTTATTGATGAATTTCACTTTACTAATAATAAGGTGTGTATTTTACTTTTATAGTGCATACACCCTGTTGAAAACGAATCCATCTAGTCCGTATTTAAAAGATTTGATCAAAAATTGGATTGATTTAGCCGATCGACTTGCTCGAATTGGTCAGTTTTCCTATGCACATACATTTCTACATGTATCTGAACAGTTATGTCAACATGATAATAGTCAAATGGTATACTGGTTACTCGCACGAGCTCGTCTATCTCTAGCAGAAGGTCAATATAAACTAACTAGAACGCTAATTTCAAAGATATTTGTAAGTTTTCCATTGTGGTGTAGTTTTGTAATACGATTCAGTCAGAAAATAATAAAGTTTAATTGGCTTTGTTCATAGAACTTACCACAGTCTGTCCAATGGACTTTGATAAAATTGCTATATATAAATATGTATCTGAAACTTTATAATGTAAACTAACCATGAAGTTGAGAAATTATGCAATCTTTATTTTTGTGTCAGTGTTATAACAACGTTGATAGAGTGTTTTGTGTAAAACATTCTTGCTTCTAATAATTCGGCATCTACTTGGTAAACATATCCACTTGACATTATAAAAAATCACAGGGAAGAATAGTATCCATATCTGACTCATGATTTGCTTCAGCGTAGGCACTCATTCAGTGTCCTGTTAGCGTTACCTTCGAAACCAGTGGGTCTCCATCTGGATCAAACCGTAAGCTCCTAAGTTTCTGTGTCGTCTCCTGTGTTTCTTCCAGACCCGGAAACTAGTCTCTTGACGACCTTCACCCTTGATGACACCACACCTGATCCATGTCAGCTGCCTAGCGACGAGCCTCGAAGAACGATTTGTTTTGCCTTCTGTCTCGGTACACTGGTCAGATCTGCCTTTAAAAAGACTCGCAGACACTGCACCTTCATCCCCAACAGGGGAAGCAACAACAATCGTAATGAAGAATATGGAGGTACCTTGTAGCGAAACTGCCAATCAAGTGAAATTACATACAGTAATCATAGAATATAACAATTTTAAGCTAAAACTCTAATTTTCACAAGGTACTTATGTTCTGCTTCTTTTGTCTTCGTCTCAAACTCTTTATATTGGCTTACGATGTCATTCATTTCTCGTGCTTGTAGCTTAATCCGTCTCTCCTCTACTCACAGAATATACTACTTACAAGGTTTCGTCACATGGTTTATGAAGTACTGAATATGAGTGCTGTTTCTTTAGATCTTTATAATTATAGCACCAATATGGTAACTCACGACTAGTAATTCTGCAACTCCAAAGCCCGAAACATAATTGCATTCCATAATCTTAGTTAATTTGAAGTACATTTCTTTAATAAACAGTTTATTGATTTTTTTACTCAGGATTCTGAAATAGAAGATGAATCATTTTGGATTGAGTGTCTGTCTATACGTATTGATGCTTTATGCTATGATCCTGATCTAACAGCTCATGATCTTGGTTCACTTGAAATTAATGAACAAACCTCAGTGAATTATACCTCGTGCCCACTACATTTTGGAATAGAAAAGGCCATAAAAGAAATAGAATTAGCTGAAAGAGATCTACAGAAAAGAAGGAAGCAGTGGAAGTCTAGAGAAAGTTGGTTTAACAGGCTGACAGGAATTCTGTTATCAAAGAAAGCTCAGTTATTTGCCAGAATTGACCAAATGAATTATCATTATGCTACACTGTTCAATTCATCGGTAAGCAAACTTTATAAAGTCTATTTTTCACCAGAGCAATGCTTCCTCAGGAAAAGCCAACAAGTAAGACTATTTGTCACAAAAACGTTATAATTTCAACTGCATCTGTCAGACTTTGTTGGGTAATTCAGCCTTCGAAATATTCAGTACTGTTTTAGTACATTCTACTTTGACGTGATTCCCAGTATATCCAAAAAACTGTTGTAATAATAGAATAAGCATTTCTGATTGCATACTGTAAATTGTATGACCAACTAAAGATTATATAGCTATTACTACCGATATTCGTTCCCTGCGTCCCGACAGGAACATAGTGCATCAACAACACATTTCCAATGGACTCGTGAAGTCTAACGCACATAGAAATTAGGTTATCTAGCCTATGATCAATGAATTATAATACTGATACACTTTGAATTAAGGTTGCCAAATCAAATCCATAAAAAATAAAAATAAAGCTTTGTACAAACAGAGGGTAAGTAGAGGTTGTTCACTTTTTAGAAATTAAATAGAGCTTAATGTCTTCATCCAGAAGACTTTCAATCCGCTCAGTTTTATTTTTAAGTTCAGTGTTGATCACGAACAAATAGCCCATAGTGGCTGGTTTCTATATGAAGAATATGTACTGTCTTGTTTTCCTAATAATTACGAACTGTGACATTTTGTGGAATTAATACTCAGTTCAATACTTGGACACACTGTAACTACCCTCGAAATTATGGAAACTGAAATAGAGCATGTAGATATGTAGGGCTTATTATTATCACTAACTAAACAAACACTCACCGATACGAGAAGACTGTGACTGAGGTGATCTGTCATCAGTACATGACAGTAAAATTTGAAAGAAGAGAACACGAAGTTCAGCAAAGATATCTTTTCGGCAATTTCATTTTCAAAAGCAGCTGTACAATCGCATTTAAATACATAGTTTTACATGGAGACAATTCTTGTTTGATTCTACATAATTTCGACGGTGAATAAAAGGTGATAATTATTTCCAACTAGATATGGTTTTTACGAGAGGCTTAGAAACAAAATTACACAGGATTAGAACGGATATCAAGTGTGTAAAAATGAGCATGGAAACAAAAATGAAATAATAATTTTAACTTGAAATAGAAGTTAAGAGGTTACAAGAGCCTTAGAAACACAAAATTGCACAGGATTAAGATATAATTGTAAAATAGTTTATTTTTTATTATTAAACGAATTATAAATGTGAACAGGAAAAGCATGGAAACAAACTTAAAATAACTGTTTTTATAACTGAAAAAGTGGGATGAATCGAATGAAGACTGATGGAGTAAGAATCACACACACAGCGAACGAAAAAAGGTCAAAAAGAAAAAAGAGAATGAAAGAAGAAAAAACAAAAAAACAAAAACGGAAGCTAAGGTAACATACCGAACTAGGTCCATGGTAGTTGTAGAGGTTGGACTAATTTCTTTTGCACACATAGCTCCGGCTTCTCGATGCATGTTGCGAGGGCTTCTGCAGTGAAGAGAAGTCGGAAACATACTGCTTTTGGTAGGTTTCTGTTGACTTTGTAAATTACTTTGAAAGAATCAGTTGAGATGTTGTGGGAGGTGTTGATCAGGCGTTCACTAATGGCACTTCTGATTGAACCGGTGCCTCCTCTTTGCAGCCAAGCTGGATAGTGTTCTCTAACACGTTTTGAAAGGACGCGCATACAACAACCTATGTACCTAGCTCCGCACGAGCAGATAAACTGGTATATGCACACTGAATTGGTCATATGCGAGAGTTTGTCCTTCGTGTTGTTCCGAAGTATTGGACGGCTGGAGAATGTCACCCTTAGTGTTGCTGCAGGGAAGGTCTTCTTTAAAGAGCTGGATATTCTCCTCTTCAGGATGTCGGCTGCCAAATCTCCCCTGAAATTCAGATTCAGATACAGCGTTTTCTTTGGCGCTTAATCGCATTGTTCTCTTTTTACTTTAGGTTTCATGTTCTTTTCGACAAAACGTGTCTGGTATTTAAATGCGATTGTACAGCTTTTGAAAATGAAATCGCCGAAAAGATATCTTTGCTGAACTTCGTGTTCTCTTCTTTCTAATGTCCATATGGGTGTTTTCCACGAACAGTAAAATTTACCGATGGAATTATAACTGCTTTTTTTATCTAATATAGCACTGATCTCATGATCACACCTTAAGTTCCAATGTCTTTGAATTTTATAAAACCTTGTTGTTTCACACTTATAATAGTCTGGTGTCTCTATCGTGTATCTTAGTCGCTACACTCAGTGTTATCTATTAACCCATGAAGCTTTTATTTAAGACTGATAAATAACTTGATCACTTCAGCAGTCCTTAACAAATGAACCTGTTAAAACAAATTACACTTTTAAGACTTAAATTATCGTCTACAATGGCTTTTGTGTAATTTCTGCATTGAATAACAAGCCATGCATTATAACAAAGAGTATTATTATAAAGATTATGCCAAATTACTTGCTGTATTTATTTTTATTCTGTGCACGTATATTTATGAAATACTGAGTTGAACAATAACTGTCGAATTAATTTATTAGCCATGAATATAAGTTATGTCATGACAAGAGTGCTGAAGATAGATAGATAGTCCTTTCAGTACTGTTTATTTTATTTTTTTATTTAGGATAAATCGTCAAACTCTGGCTTATGCTTACGCCCTGTGAACTTACTGATGAATTCAAATGGTGCCCCAAAACTGTTTGAAGAAATTATCCACCTTTTTGCACCCCATAATAAACGAGCTGCTTTAAGATTAGGCTGGATGCCGTTATTAGCCCATTGGGTCAATGCATTCAAAGCTGAAGTCAATGTTCAGGTGAGTTGTGTTCCCCGTAATCAGGAAAATAATTAAAACTTGTTCAACGTTTTTGTAGGATAAAATAAATTTTGGACTTAAAAAAATTAGTAAAATACACTATTGTTCGAACCCAGGAACTTCTGGTTACAAGGCGAGGTTGTAGACTACTAAACCACTGGGACTCGATGTCAGTTCATGATGAAATCCTGAAACCAGTCGAATGCCTGCAAACCAACAATTGAATAAAAATACACTACACCAAAATATTTAAAAGTTATTTACACTAATGAATCACTTCACCAAAAGATTCTTCATTGTAGCTTAGGTGCTCTTACACTCATACAAACAAAAAAGAAACAGAGATTAACTGGAATTAAATTCTGCTTTTACGAAAAATAAAAGCTAATTGCCTCTCTTTATGCAACCTCAAACCGTGATACACTTGATGATTAAGTGTTATTGTTAGTAACCAAATCCAAGATAATTGAAAATATGTATATCATCGTTTATCACGACCGGCAGACCGGGTAAACAAAAAACTATCCCTATATATGAATAACCTGATAGCATTAAATATGATAACTAAAAAACTGCAGTTTTATTTGTTAGGAATAGGCAGACACTAATTTGATTTTTGTGCTTTCTAACTACAGATTTGTTGATAATTTGTAGTCACGTAAGTAGGAAGGAATCATGAAAATAAAATTCCCTAGCCTTCGACTGAAGAAATGTAAATGGCGCCAATCAGCATACTCGAAAAACGTCTACTAGAAAGTCTAAAGATGTTCAAAGAGTTGAAATCATTATGAAAATAAATTTAGCAAAACAAAAAAACAGACTAACTGATAGAATTTGATGATAATAATAATAATAATTTGCTTTATTCCAAAACACTACTAATGTAAGAGTGTGGAATTTTCAGCATTTGGTACATTATTGCATCAGATTTTATGGAATAATATTAAAAACAATTAATAAGTTAGTATTTCAGTATTGTTAATCGCACTTCTTATTTGGTATTTGTAGTGACAGTAAAATCATAAACATATAGCAAATACGAGATAATTAAAGTGCCAGTTATTTAGCTAACAACATAGTAATTCAGAAGTGTCACGCCTTACATTGTCTCTATCGTATAGAACACGGGCTGACCAAATATGTTATCGTTGAGTTCCCATACTTGGCAGTACCAGCATATAGTCTTTTGTACTGACTTCTGGTTCTACCAGATTAAATACAAGGGGAGAGCTGAGAATAGAGGGGGCGTTGAGGGTCATACAAAATAGATTTACACCATTTTTCGCGTGAGTTTAGATGTCTATCAACCAATGCAAGGGACAAGCCGAATAAGTTGCACACCACTTACCCTACTGGCAACCTTTAGTGCCCTTCTCAAAATGACACAGTCTTTTTTCAGTAGACTAGGAAAGACTAAGGGAGAGCAGTGAAGCACAGTAGGTAAGATACACGAGTTAATAACTTGCAGAAGCAGAGGTCGAGTGATCCCAGATAGTCCTAGCTTCTAAATGTAGTAGCTGAGACGGAACATTTCCTTGGAGATCGATAAAATATGAGATGACCAAGTAAGGTCACAGGATAAAACTATACTAAGTTATTTTGTGTTATACCTAGTTTCCATTAGTCTCCTCTATGCTACAAGCATCGTGTGTAATAACCAGTCGTTTTAATGTCTAAAGGAAAAGTCAGTGGTCTCAAATAGATAAAATTAACGAATGATAGAGCATAAGAAAATTTGAAGTAATCACCGTGATCAGTTTGCATTAAAGAAAATGGGAAATAAGAAAGAAATCAGTGTGTTCCAACCATAAGTTGACTCTATAATATTCTATGTCGTGAATACGGAAGCATAATTCTTAGCTTCGCTTTCTTCCTAAAAGTGATAACTGTTTTCATGTGGGTGTGCAGAACAGATACTTCAAATACTAAGAAAACTATTTCAAAACATATTTGTATGTCCTAGCTATTAATCCCCTTCTACTGTTTTCTCTTACACCAACTATCTCTGTTCTGGGAAGTGGACAGTTTTCAGTGCTTCCACTCTTATTCCAAAATTTCATTTCATGAAAAGGCACGACAGATCTCTCTTCTTGCTTACAGTTAATTTGTATCAAAAAAATTCAGTCAAATTAAATAATTCTGTAGAATCAGAAAGTTTTGAATGTTTCCTTTGATGCATCTTACGATGAAACTGTGACACCAAAATAACCTTGTCTTTCAAAATACTAAGTAACGATAACAGTAAATACATTTAGCATATCCTAGCTAATCACTTCTTGGGAAAACAACGCTAAAGTTGATATGATGCACGTAGTTCTGCCATTAAAAACCAAAGCCACTAGATAGGAAAATTAATAGGACATGAGAGGGATTTAGAAGCATATTCTTACATTCACGTCATTAAAATTACTAATTACTTATATTTTACTCTTATTTATAGGCCCATTCGGTTATTCAACCTGTTGATTTTGTGAAACCTGAACAAACTACATGAACTCTTACCTTCCAGTGTTAGCTTATTATTTTACTGATAACATTAGGAACGATTCATAAAATTTCCCATAAATCCATCATGAAAAGTCCAATAATTTTAAAAATAAACAGGTCACTTTATGCAAAAGAATACCTGAAGCCTAACAAACCTAAACAAAGTAACAATGAATATCTTAGACTCGAATACTCACGAGTATTTAAAGCATTCGTGTGACATAAGTGTTTATTAGGGTAATAATAACCCATCCAATTCTAATATTTGCAAATCATTGCAAGCATAGTAAAACAGATAAAGGCTGAAGTCACAAACTAATTTGCTTTATCAAAAATAGATGTTCGTCTGAGTTTGACTAAAACTCATCGTCCTACAATCAGAGAATTAAAGCACTTCTATCATCCCAGGTTGTTTTCGCAAATTTTTTAACTACATGTGTAAGAAATGCTTGAAAATAAACTGTATTTGAAATTTTACACACCATCCCCCTAAGTTTAGTATTCTGTAAACGAAATTTTTGAAGTCCAAATGATTACACCGTTTCTTTATCCTTTAAACTTCCAGCTGGTTGAGTAAATTTCAGATGTTTTCAGATGTTTCAGATGTTCAAATTTATTTATTTATTTATCAATACTTTAAAGTCATTAATGATTGAAATTAATTTTAATCTTTGCATTTCAAAAGATCATTCATCTACGCAGAGAATTACGTCATCCATCAACAGCCTGTCTTTCTTTTGTAACTACATTAAAAGTTGCGCGTCAGTGCCTAAACTTTGCTCAAGAAACCGTTGTATTGGCCGAATCATTTAGCAATACAAATGAAGTAAGCAAGTCTGTGCATTATAAATTGATTTATCCGTGTCTTAAATTACTGTTATGTTAATTCCCAAAAGGTGCGTCGGTGGCACAGTGGTAGAATGCTCGCCGACCACGCAGGTGGGTCGGGATTCGATCCCCGTCCGACACACTCCTTTACCTTGCTAAGCCAGCACTACGACTGGTAAAGAGGGGAGGTTGGGCATGGGGCTAACAAACCCATTGCGTTAAAATAAATACCACTGCTACCGAAACTTTGAAGCCCTAGCTTGAAACCGTATGTCCAACTGGGAATGTAAAGGAATAAAAAACAATATTCCTAAAATAATATTTCAAAGTTCAAAATATTGCTTACATAAGATGAAGACACTTCCTTTGAATAACCCATTCTACTTTAGTTGCAGCAGATAATTTCAGTTGCCTGGCGAATATCTAAAAATGAAATTGTGTGTTGCTTTGAGAAGTTGCGGTGCAAGATAATGGTTTTTCTGTTCTCATCCTGTCTTTTTATCGTACTAAAGAAAGATGCCCAATGGACAATATACGTACTCAATAAAAGCTTACCTACTGATAGTTTCTCATAGTAACCACTCCTAAATCGACCACCACCGACAACGCGCCCAACAATACCAACAACGGAGACAGAGCTACCAGTGAACACCAATCCCCCGATGAAATCAGAAGTCCTGAAGGCAATCAAGATGCTAAAGGCTGGAAAAGCAGCAGGACCAGATGGAATCCCAGCAGAAGCATTGAAAACGGACCCAGAGACAACAGCGGACTTGATGACGCCACTACTGGAGAAGGTGTGGAAAGAAGGCAAAGTACCTGAAGATTGGAAGAAAGGATACTTATTCAAACTACCAAAGAAAGGAGACCTAAGTCAATGCAAGAACTGGCGCGGAATTATGCTCCTGTCCATCCCAAGCAAAATACTAAGCCGCATCATTCTGGAGAGAATCAAACAAGCCCTGGATGAAAAACTTCGACCGGAACAGGCTGGATTCAGGAGGAACAAGTCATGCATTGATCAGATTGCCACATTACGGATCATCATTGAACAAAGCCTGGAATGGCAGTCACCTCTCTATCTCAACTTCATCGAATTTGAAAAGGCTTTTGACAGCGTCGATCGAGAGGTGATTTGGCAACTACTTCGCTACTACGGGGTGCCACCGACAATTATACATCTCATCCAACAGCTGTACGACAATGCTGCATGCCAAGTAATCCACAACAGGAAACTTACGGAATCCTTCGAAGTGACGACAGGAGTAAGACAAGCTGGCTGCCTACTATCGCCAATGATTTTCCTGATTGCAGTAGACTGGATAATGCGACAGACAGTGGGCAATGAGGAAACAGGCATAAAATGGACTCACACAAAATCTTGGAGGATCTGGACTTCGCCGATGATATATGTCTGATTTCCAACAAACTGGAAGATATGCAAGCGAAAAGCAACAAGTTGGCAGAAGAAGCATCAAAGATAGGACTTCAGGTGAACATAGATAAAACAGAGGTGATGAAGATTCCTGGGCAACACTACCAACAGCAGCAACAACAACAGACAACAATCAGCATAAATGGAAGGAACCTGAAAGAAACAACCTCTTTTACCTACCCACCTGGGAAGCATCGTTTCAACTACAGGCAGATGGAACTGACGAGGATATCAAAGCAAGAATCGGAAAAGCAAGACAAGCTTTCACTACTCTCAAGTCTGTGTGGAGGTCAACAGCACTCAGCATGAAAAATAAGATCCGGATTTTCAACTCCAATGTGAAGTCAGTCAGTGCTACTCACTATACGGATCAGAGACTTGCACTGTGCGTCATAAAGAGCATCTCAAACAAACTACAGACCTTCATTAACAGCTGTCTTCGCTCAATACTGCTCAAGATCAGATGGCCAACCAGAAAAGATCAACAACAGAGATCTCTGGGAGCGAACCAACCAGGAACCGATTGTGAAACAAATAGGCAGGAAGAAATGGAGATGGCTTGGCCATACTCTGAGGAAACCATCAAGTGACATCACTAGACAAGCCATTGCTCGAGTGGAACCCGAAAGGGAAGCGGCGAGTTGGTCGTCAGTGCAAGGGTGACTTGGAGGAGGTCATGTGAAGAGGAGATGAAAGCGTGTGGGCAGACTTGGAGCCAGGTGAAGACTCTAGGAGAGAACCGAACGCAATGGAGACGCTTGGCTGAAGCCCTATGTTCCTCTAGGAATTAAAGGAAACAATAATAATAATAAGTAACCACTTGTGAACTGACTAGTAAAATAGGACATCAGATAACAAAGGGTAACAGATGCAGGCTATATAACTCCTCCAATGAGGTTATTATAAATTAATGCATCAGTCTCAATTTCCAAACACTTCAGAGACCAACTTATTGAATCAACAATGAAAGTTGTAACAGGAGATCAAAGTTTTTAGGATCATTAGCTATAATGCATTACAAATTTGCTCACGAGCACAACACAACTGAACTGACTGTTGTGAGATTGAAATATACTTCAAAGACTTTTGACTAACTCTAGTTCATAAACCACTGTTACCTACAGTACTGGGGACCAACAATGATTTTGGTTTAAAACAGTTTTAGACATTAACTATTTATTCTATTATTGTTATCTCTGCTTCACATTTGTGCGTAATTATTATGTATTGCTTTGAAACACCCCTTTTCTATTTTAAGCTGAAAGGATGTAGTTTACCAGTTCGTCGAGATTTAATTGAAGTGAAATTTATGTTGGTCACCATTCTACACAGCATTATGAGTCTTCATGTAATGTATATGAAAGCTAAGCTACAAGAAAGCACTTTAAAAGATCCACTATTTTGTGTAAGTTCAGTTATTTTTATTTCACAAAAAGCGGGTCCCTTGATTATTTTGAACAAAGCAAGAACGGATGTATTTTCAGGATAAAGAGAGCTAAGTTTTTGATTTTCGGCTTTCCTTCAGCTACTGACAGCCTAAAAATGATACAAGTTACTATAAATGTAAATGTATTTAACATATTTCGAAATTATTTCAACTAAAAGAGTGAGAATCACTAAACGCCCTTTTGAGGCAAAATGATTTTTGAAAAACGCCATGTATTTACATTAATAGTAACTAAATTCATTTTCAGGCCGCGAATTGCTGAAGAAAAGCAGAGAATCAAACAATGAGTTCATTTTATTCCTCAAATGTCTGCGTTCTTGCTCTTATATTATTGTTAGACAAATAAAAATTTTAGTGGATTAGTTAACAAGGTGTATGTAGTGTATTCTCCTAAATAAAAGCTAGGAATAAGCCATCGAAGAGGCAACTATTACATTCAAAAGCTTGAATTAAAACAGTTCATTCCTAATCGCTATGTACATCCCAATCCAACTATGTATATGTTTAAACATTTTGTGGAAACGACAGTTTGCATCCAGCTTTCTAGAGTTTTATAAGCTGATGAAGTTTAGTAGTAAGGTAAATAAAATAACTATCATACCTTTAAATCAAACTGAATTTCTGAGCATATGAATTACTCCATGAAAATTTTAGGGCAGGCAAACGCGAATCCTTGCCCTTGACTGACCTCAAAGAAGGATATATATACATATGTATATGCACGACTTCCACATCAAATGCTAATAAGTACTTGCACATCAAAACTGTGATTATTTTTGGTAGAAGTATCATTCGAGGAACCTTAACTTCCAAGAACAGCATCTTTCATGTTTATCAGGTCAATAAGTAACACAGTTGCACCGTTTTTCTCCTCAGAAATAAGAAGACAAAGCGGTATCTGAATGTATAGTTAGCCAGGTGAAATATGGAGGACCATAGCTTAACTTCGGGAATGTTACAAAGTGAAGTTGGCACACCTTTTGAAGTTCGAAGGAAAAAGACACTCTCCTGACTATATTAATTAGGGTGTTTACCAAAATAGTGGACCATTTTTCTGCATATAGGACGCCTTTTAAAAAAACCTGTGCATTGGAATAGAAGCCAGACAACTTCGAAATAACATAACGACAGTGCTTTATCACTGATTATAAGGAGTTTATAAATGCGAACTATGTAAATTTACTCCAGTGGTCGTGAAATACTTAATTGTTCAGGACAAATAACAGTTCTACGTATGATTTTAAATGAATAGCAACAGTTAAGAGTCACAAATCCATACAGAAAAAATGAGAAGCTTCCTGAATGTCTGCTAATTCTTCAGCTGACAACTATTCTTGAAAGAAATATGTTCAACCCACTTAATTGCTTGCAAACCAAGTCGAATGAGACGTGACGACACTTTGGATATATATGGATCAAAGTATTTCAATTAACACTGTAATAAGTCAGTCTTCGGTTTGTTACAGCTCCACGGTACTGTATGAATATATATTTCATAGCTCTGAAATTCAGCACAGTTATTCACTCCTTGTACAACTAGTCAATAAAATAGTCTCTGAGTTGGTAATCAAACCAATCAATGTTTTACGAGGTGTAATGCAGAATGGCTTGGAAACTTTTTCATTATTAACCTTTTACGAAACGCTCATCTTCTTTATTTCTTTATTTTAACGTACTTCTATCAATCATAAAGGCTGTTGAAAACTACATCGGTGAAAATTCGTTCGACAGTTTACCAGAAACTTTAAATAACTATGAACAACCTAAACAGATATGGGATCGTACTGTCTTGACAGCATTTGATGAAATATGCTCTCTATTATCAGATATATTTATAATGAGTGAAAAACAACCTCATCTACTAGCAAAGGTAAATTGAAACTATATTCACATATTCTGTGCTTTTCAGTGATTATTCCTAGAATTAATGAAACATTTCTTCTGTGTTGTATACTTTCTTTTTATGTGTTGTCAAATGAAAGAGAAGTGACTAGAATTTCTCATATAAGCATCCATGGAAAATGAACTCAGCGCTACATCACTATCGACAGAAGTTAAAAGTTTTTGATTGTCGAGTTCATACCTTTGGACTGAGTATTAATTTGCTTGTCATGAATCTTGACAGTCCTTGGTTCAGTCTCTCACAAATATATCTGTTTGCATTGGTGAATCGCCTTCAATTAGGATGATGAAGCTACCTAGTTCACCTAAATTTTCTACGGTTCCGTTGTTAGTATTTCACCACCATGTAAATTACTGTGACGAGAATATTCTTTGCACCATCTGGCACTACAGTAACAGTATTCTAACTTTTGTGCTTACTAGGCGATAATGGGTTCGGTATTTTTCCATAATAATTCTAAAGTGACAAGTCATCGCACTATTTCCACTCGCACTTATTAAGAGAGAGAACAGAAGCTTTTAAAACAATGAGATTTACAACGAAAGGTAAAAATAATGGTGTTGCTACTTTGACTCAAACCTAAAATTCAAAGTCTCAGATGTCATCAGTAATGTCCACTAAGCTATTCAGATACAGAAGTTATCTCTTTATTGACGACTGCCATCTGTTAAGAATTATTAAAAGTGTAGATAATGGCCGATCATTTTGCTTCGATATAATCAGCAGTGATAAATAACACGTGTTATCAAATAGTTAAGTATTTGTCTTGGATGTTGCACAATGAAAGCTATTCAGCCACTTAGGTATATGCTTTACAAAAGTTCATATTGACTTAAAGAGGAGCATGGTTGTTATTTTCAAAGAATTTTTGTGAAACCTCAACGCCTACAGGCAGTCATCAAAACCTTGTTCTGCTCGGCTTTGCCGCAAATTTCAAACCTGAACCTCCCAGTTTAAAGATGCAGGCTGAATAAATTTTCTGTGTAGACTAATAATTGTATTCCTTCCTATTTTTCCCTAGCAGACGTTCTATACTTCTGGGATTAGTATTACATCACTCCTGTTGCAAAGAAAGTTAGATTGTTTGATTACGTTGGTATGATTATAGTTTAAAAATTGCGTTGTAAATGCTATTCATCTGAAAATACTTTTCTATAGAGTTTTATATCAAATAAATGTATCAAGTATGAAATAAATTTAAACCAAAATAGACTTCTGAGTAAATGAATGAATATCATATTGATTTTATTGAAAGATTAATTACATTTAGGAATGAGAAATGTGAATGTGTGAATGTATCAGGATAGATTCGTTTAATAAATTTTTAATCTTTAGGAAACTGATTAGTTAATAATATATATTTCACTAAACAATATTTCTCCATAGTGTTTTTTCTACATGGGAGAATCGCTGTATCTACGTGGTCTGTTGTTGATACCAGATTTACAAGATTACTGGACTGACCACAGCGGTGAAGTTGCCAATTTGGTCAACACTGTTGCACGTGAGTTAATGGAAAAAAGTACTGAAGACGTGAATCTCCATTCTGGCTTCCGTTGGAGAAGTCGCAATGACGTAATCAATGATTTGGTAAGGAATAGTTTAGTGTCAGTCTTCCATAATGTAGACAAAATTATACATATATATATTCAGATTTAAGAGGTCGCAAATGAAGATGACTTGTAAATCTTTTTTAGCCGCAATATCAGAACTGGGGACCTGCACATTATCATTTCAAGGATCTACTGCCTGAATTCTGGCCTTACCGTCATCCAGTCTCAGAGGTTTTAACTAAATGGCCACATGAATAAATGATGACTTGAAATCAAACCAACACATGAATAAATGTTCTTTCAGAATAACATTAAACGTCCTGCCTGGTATCTTACCAGGTCTTCTCACCAAAATCTAATCATTCATTATTAAGTGGTAACTGTAGGTCACTTGTCGTAGAGACGGTGAAATAGTGAGGCAGATGAACGTTGATTAACACTGAGTGAATGAACATATATATATATTTATATATATTCACTCAAAAATGTAAAAGGGGTATTGAGTCGAATTACTGAAGAGTTCGTTTTAAACATAGCACAGAATCTTCAGCTTGTTATGTTGAAAGGTATTTAATCCTTGTGAAAAACCTTCATTTGACATAATAACCGATAATGCATCATTCCATTATGGGTAAAATTTGTTTTGATAAAGTCTCACAGTGTTATACAGTAATGTTTACTGATGACGTTTCGAGCACAATTTATTGCTCATAATCATAACAAGATACTCACACAACTTTCTAACTTCGTTTATATAATTCCACTATTTTCCATCGCTTGATTTGAAAGTTGTGTGAGTACCTTGATATGATCATGAGCAATAAATTGTGCTCGAAACGTCATCAGTAAACATTACTGTATAACACTGTGAGACTTTATCAAAATAAATTTTACCCATAATGGAATTACACTCTACCACAGTGCACAAGTTTTATTCTTATATCAATGATACATATGGTCTTCCTACTAGGAAGCTTATCAATATTTTCACACGACTTTGTCAAACAGAAGCAAGATTCACAAACCATTGGATTTTTAACAGTCGATGTTTAAAAAATTCATATAATTCCAAAATATTTACGCCTACGTACTCCAATTACTTCAAGAAAAATAAATCAGCAGCCGGACATGTCAGTAGATTATGTCTAAGAGAAGAACTACATCAAATTACTGTGAAACTAAATAATATACAAAATGAAATTGAAAAACTCAAACACAAACTCAAATGTATGGTCAATGACAACGATAATGCATCACTTGAAGCAATATTGTCCCAGCCAAAGCATGTTCCATTACTTCACGGAATTTTTCTTCTATTTCATTTGAAAAAATTCGTAACAGTAGGCTGAAATCTCTTGAAAATGTGTGTGAGATAAAGTTGCGACTCAGGAACGTAGATGGATGGTTATAACAACAGATAACACAGTAAATATGGACAGATGGAAAAAATTTGGTATCCCAGTGATCAAGGCCGGCCTCGAGTAGTTTCAACTAGGTTGTTTTATAATAAAGTTCTTTTGCAAAACCCTTATTTTTACCCTCATATAAACAATTGATTTTGTTGTCTACCTTGAGTAGCTACTTTTAACTCCAATATTTTCTATATGAAAGTAAAACTACTCATTATTCTAGTGTCTACTTGAGGCGTGGTAACTATTGTAACTCTTGGTACTATTGGTTGACCTAAATTTATCACAAAAGATTATCATTTGCCTGAAATGAAAAGGAGTGTTGTAAGTGAAAGACAGTGAGTCTAACTTACAAATTTATTTGTACTTAAACTGTCTTTGGAATATGACTGGAACTTATAACCTATAACGTGAACAAGCGAAGCCCAATCTATAGGGTGGAGAATGCCGATCTGTTACGTACTGGTTTTCCTTTTAAATTCAACTGACTTCAGAACTGAGACAAAACGATAGAACTACCTTCCTCATAGGTATATTTTCAACTAGGAGAGATATGGTCCCCTTATTTTTCTATATCCATGCTTTAAACTAGGACCCTATCGTTTTCAGAAGATATCTATTTGTGGCGCAAGGTTCTGGAAATGTTTGAAAGTAAACTTTGTGATTATCAAACATGATTTGACTATTTATCTATGCAGCCAGCTGAAAAATGTTTCACTTTTTCTATATTTTACTATTCGTACAGAGAACTTACGATTCAGTCATAAATTTATTCTCGCAAGCTTCATCATTATACATCATTTCCCTAAAAATATGTTTTGCTCAAAACTTCATGGTGAGTTTAAAATAACTGTATGTATGTATATAATGTTGACAAGTATTTATATATTTATATAATTTTATGAATAATTCGTAGTCATTTCACGTACAGCTGACTTTACGATTCTGACGTTTCCAGGAGTTTTCCAAATGAGTACTATTAAATCTCAGCGTTTTCTTCCTTCACCCAGAGTATACACTTTCATGTAATAACAGTAAGAATTTCTAGTTGTTTGGGATGGAATTCTACATTCCTGTTTCTATATTCATAGTACCGTTTCTGCTCCTGATATTTTTCAAATTGAGGTATTAATTTTGAATATAGATAGGCTTGTTTCAATGTAAACAAGCAAATGAACATATTTCGCAACACATTCTTCATTGGCTATGCTAACCGCAGTACGGTCTCACAGTGAGGAAGATCCATATCATCAGAAAGTCACTGGCTACTTATAAACGCAGACTGTGGTGCAAAGACAGTCAGTTGTTAAGTGTAACAATTATTATGTTATGTATATCTCCTCTTTTAGGAAGTCCCAACAAAATGATGAATTGAGTGGAAAACCATTAACATTCGTTATCTAACTGGTAAGGCTATCCAGCCACAATTATATAAGCCCCTTCACTAACATTTCCCTCTTTATTTAGTTGATCTGTATCGAGGAGTAGATGTACGAATACTTGAAGCCAAGTAATATTAAATCCTTAACAGCTACACTGTATTTCATTCGATAAACAAAATTCTTAGACACTATCCACTACTGCAGTTTACAGAGATAATATCAACAGTCTAATAGAAGATCACCTGACTTCTTCACTTCTTCAAACGGAATATAATCTTTAAGGTTACAGGTATAACCCGCAGAAGAGTACCAATAAACAAGGAGCTAATGTGTATGGTTTTGTCTACTGACCTATACAATCTGACAATGAGATGAAAATTGGTTCTTATAATAAGGCTGAAATCTCGTCATAAATTTATTCTGGGATTAAAATGTCATATTTGTAAAGGGTTATTCCGGTGTACAAAAATTGACAAAACTCATTCGTACTTACTTTTTTCTTAGGGTTTGGCTCGTCAAGTAACCGAATCTTTGTTAAATTTGCTTGGCGGTATTCATGAAAGTGTTTCTGTTTTAACACAAGATTTACTAATCGCATTCCAAAGTTGTTCAACAGCAGTTCGACTACGGACTCATTTCTGGCTGACATTACTGGCGTATGATGCACGTAAATGTTCTGGTGGTACTCAAAGCAGCTTCGATACACAAAATGAATTTTCCGATAGATCTATTTTGAGCTCCTCAGAAGCTCTTATTCGTCAGTTATTATGGTTATCTCCATCCAGTGTTTATAGCGATCTGTGTCTGTTTACAACATGGGGATTCTGTTCAACTACTGAGCCTTCTTCTTATCCTGAAACACTAGCCTGGATAACAGGAATTAAATACAACTTAATATCTAATCGTTTGCGTTCAACCGGAGGTTTATTTGGTGGATCAGAGGATCACTGTGTCGCCGCTAGTCCATGGATTTCAAGTGTCCTGAAAACTTTAGCATCACAGTCACAAGTGAGTTAATATCTTTTCAGTTTTCATCTGAACTAAACGACTCTACCCTTTATTATTTGAATGCGTTCTGATGACATTATAATGTATATTATATTACAACATGATTGGTTTGAGGCTAATAGTATTACAGACCATCACAAATCCTAGTCAGTGGAAGAAATTTGAAACATGAAAATTCTAATTAGTATACATCCGTATGGTATGAAACTAGACAATACGATAACACTATTGATATTCTTTGGTTATTAAATGATATAATACACATAAATTACTGACAGTACAAGATTGATTAATTCAATTTTAGATTTCCCCGTTGATTGATTCGACCGAAGTGCTCGGTCTCAAGTCGACATGTCGGCTTCTTGTGCAGATGCTTGGACGATATCTGGGCATGTAATTATAAGTTAGTTGGTGGATGATGACTAGCAGTGGAATCCAGGATGTGCATTTCGTCCTATCTGGGACTCGTCAGATGGATGTGCCTGCATTCCGCAGTGAGTGATGATGTCCCTACTGAGGCTCAAACCCAGTGCCCATAGTTTCCAACGCCAAAGCGTTATCCACTAGACTACTTGGTGTTCGAGCCTCGGTGGGGACATCATCACTCACTACGGAATGCAGGTACATCCAGCTAACGAGCACTAAATCGGACGAAATGCACATCCTGGATTCCACTGCCAGTCACCATCCACCAATTAAGTACCTGGTTAAATCTATTCTACTAATTTGAATACTGTTAGCCATATAAATTAATCTCAAGTATACCTTTTACAGTTTTATTTCCGTATTCCACTCACTTGAAGTTCAAGGTGTTAGTAATAAATACAAATGCAGAACTCTTCCATTCTGCCAGCATCTCAAGTATTTGTTATTCACATATTTTATTTTACTTCAAGATGATGGCGATTATCATAATTCTACAAAATCTAACAAATTCTGAATAGGATATAAACATTAATAGGTTATAATCACACGTATTATACGAAATAATAATAACGTGTAAAATTGAAATGTTCGTCGTTAATGTGTAATACATTGTTCCTGGTAATTATAAAGCTACTAGTTTGAATTTCACCCTAACCTACGTTGTATTCATCATTCCCTGACAGTTCAGAAAAGATACAACTCCATAGATCTAGGAAAGTATCTAACAGTATTCTGTCTATATTTTCAGGTAAATTAAGCCATCATCAGATAAATCTCAAGTGACAATACCGAGTGGACTATATAAGTAAATAGACAAATATGTCAAGTAACATTTGTTAAAGACTTGTATCCCAGATACTTTACTTCGAAAGTTAAAACTACTCTATTCGCTTATTTGCTTATACTTAGAATTTCCTGTTCACTGTGATTTATCTCGTTTAAAGTAAGCAGTTTGTTTAGGCCTATTTTGGTGTAATTCAGAATTAGTCAGCTCGAATAAACATTAGATGGAGTTTCGATTCTCCACCTTTTTAAGCAATTGGTGTTAGGTTAACAACCACTCAGTATGATGCAATCCCACTTAGTTAATAAATCAGAAATAGGACAAAATGTACATGCTGGTTTTTTGAACGCTAAACATCATGAGGTGAATAACACAAAGGTTTTTTTATTTCACGTGACCCTTACACAGACTGACACAAAATCGAGATGTGCAGTAAACTTTTTATTCTTTCGTTTTCTTCAAAAGATAAATGTCTGTTAATAGAAACACCTTCCAGTCACTTAAAAGCGGTTGCTACTTCTTACCCTGAAAAACTGATATTATTAACTTTTATCCTTTGTAGGCTTGGAGAGTAACTGAAGTGAATCCTTCAATAATCTTTGATTCTAACAAAATTATCCAGTCAACATTGAGCTCACTACCTGGATCCAATTTACAAGCAGCTAAATCTTGGAATCTTCTTATCATGGAGCATTCTATAAATTCTTGTTTTCTGTATGCTGCTGTACCTAAAGGCATGAACAGAGCAACTTCTACACGAAGTCATCGACCAAGTATACCAACTAACAAAAGTAATAACAAAGGTTAGTATAGAACCTTTTTTTCGAAATTATTTTGAATATCCTGTTGATTTTACTGCGCTTAAATGTAAATTCTTAGTACGGATGCTTCGACAGTGCCTTGAAGTCAAATTAATGTTATTGATTCGTGACTATTTTTAGTCAGCAGCCCATTGTATAAAGCTTCAGCATTTAAAATTGTAAGGTCACAGGGGTTGAGTGGTCTACGAGCTCGTCTCGTAACCGGAAGATTCTTGGTTCGAACCTCGGAGTGTGAGTACTAATGGAGAGTCCCAAACTAGGACGAAACAGCTGTCCAGTTGTCGTGGGTTTTATGCATCGGTGTTTCAAAAGTAGAACGCTCGCCAACCGCACATGTGGTCCAGGGTTCGGTTTTCGACCGACACACTCCTAAATCTAGTTAAGCCGGTAGTTGGACCACTGAAGAGGGAAGGTTGAGGCTAGCAACCCCACCCTGCAAAATTAAAACCACTGCTACTAAAACTTCAAAGCTCTAGCTTGAAGCCCTGTGTTCCACTCGGAACATAAAGAAATAAAAAATAACTGAAATGTAGGTTGTCGGGTTCAAGTCCTAGTGAGAAGACCATCAGTCAGTATTATGCCCAAATACTTTACTGATGAGTTCCATACAGAACGAAACTGGAGTTCTTGTTTCCACTACCATCTAGTATAGAACCTTTTAATTTGTTCAGTGAATGTTGTAAATAATGAAAAAATCACTAATACTTGACAGCTCAATTTTCATGAATCACTTCTAATTATGACAGTAATTTTTTACATCGACAGTTATCTGCAGCAATATTTATTTATTCTCGAAATACTGTTCCGCATCCTGTCACTTAGAATTCATGATCACGTAACTCTAAAGCACGTCATTCATTGTCTAGTCTAAATTGAATTCACGAGAACTTCAGTTTATCACACGCTGAAGATTAATTATTTTACTACACGATACCTTGATTTGCACACTGTAGCAAGTCATAGTCGCAAATATCACGTCTCATTGACTCATGGATGACTCAAGTAAGAGTCAGTTATATGTGATGCTTGATAATGAGGCTTAGAAAAATTTATAGTCACAAGAAAGTGGTTAAAGTTACTAAATCATTTAAACTCGATGTAATGATTGTTTCTGAATTCTAGCCAAAACAATTAACAGAAAAACGCCCCAATAAATGCAGACCTTAAAAGACTATATTTATAATCGTCGTACCACACACATTCCTCTATTGTGTATCCATTTCTTACTCAACCATCTTGTAACAATATATAATTAAATTAGCAGACAGGAACATCTTTAATGACTGGACTATCAAATTGCAAAATGGAGGCATGTAATGAATGCCAGAGTGAACTGTATTGTTTTCTTTTGGACAAACTATTGTTAAATATTGTAGTTATACCTAGTTCAAGTAGCAACTCCGTAATAAGAGTTTCACAAACATTAGTATTGCAGAACCATTCTTTCTTTGACTGACCAGTCAGTTGAAAGGAACTAGCTGTTTTTACACATAAATTACTTACTGTCTGAATGAAACAATGCAATGTACTAAGTAGTTCTAACTTGATTCGATCTATTAACAATAACTATTATTTGTATTCCCTATTTTATAATGGAAAATAAATTCTTTTCATTAGTGCTTTCGCCTGTGTTCTTTACCCCGAAATCAATTGCGAAACAATGTCCTTCAGTGTTATAGACTACTCTTCTCAAAGTCATGTTATATGTAAGAATGAATGAAGATCAAATGCTGATGTAACAAAATTGGTTTGGGTGTATTGCAACTCACTCTATTCACGGCTGGATAACTTATATGAATTAATCACTTGACAGTATTATCATTATTATTCCCTTGGGTTACGAGTGAAACATAGGGTTTCAACAACACTTCTCCACCTTTGATAATACCAGATGGTTGGAGACAATCTTCAGGACACCTTCCACCTAGGTTTCGTGCTAGTTGGTACTCACCAGTCAGCAAGGCGTATCTGCAACCTTGAAGGAACTCATGTCTCTTCTGAGATCCGAACCTGAATCACCCAGTGCTGCAGTCAGAGACGTTACCACTGAGCTATTCGGGTTCGCGGTTGACCTCCTGTAGGACTGTAGTGGATACTTTGATTGGACACTAGTAACTAGTGTCATGTGTCTAGGCCTTTCTTAAGTGCAGACTGGATTCTATCAGTCAGGTTTGCAATGTGGCGACGATTCTAGGGCACTCGCCATCAGAGTGAACTATGAATTGTTGGTTTTGGATGGTCGGAGGCAATCATCAGGAAGCTTTGAGCCTTTCTTCTGTTTTTTACCTACCTATTCAGCTGCGTCCATGATTGCCCATAATCACTCATCTCCTCCTCGCCCAAACAATCTCCTCCATATCATCCTGGCACCGACGACCCACTTGTCGCTCTCCATTGAGATTCCACTCGAGCAATGGCCTGCACTGCGCGTGACGTCATTCGACGGCCTCCTCAGTGGCGTATACCTGATCCATCTCCATTTACTCCTACATATTTGTTGAGCAAACAGCTATCGGTTGGTTTGTTCCCAGCCAGAATTCCCCGCTGCTAATTCCTTCTGGCCGGCCATCTGATCTTCAGTATGGAACCATAGAAGGCATCTGTTGATAAAAGTGTGAAACCTGTTGGAAATGCTTTTTGTGATATGCAGTGCAATTCGCTGACCCACATAGAAGGACTGACTGACTTCACATTGGTGTTGAAAATCCAAATCTATTTGTTTATGCCGGAGAGTGCAGAAGATTTCCAAACTGGTTTCAGGTTTCTGAAGGCGTATCTTGTCTTTCCGATTGCTACTGGCTTTGACATCTTCATCCGTTCCTACTGCCTGTAGTTAAAACGATGTTTCCTAGATAAGCGAAGGAGGTAACCTCTGTAAAATCTCTCCCTTTGATGTTGATTGGTGCTGGTTGTTGTTGTTGCTGCTGGTGGTGGTAGTTGGTTACCTTTATCACCCCCGTCTTCTCTTTGTTCACCAGGAGTCCTGTCTTCTCTATCTGCTTCTTCAACCAGTTCGTTGGTTTTCGTCTGCAAGTCTTCGAGTTTGTGTGACACTAAACAAAGATCATCTGCGAATTCCAGATCTTCTAGAGTCTCTTTATCGGTCTTTCAGCGAGTCCCTGTCTTCTCACCCTTTGTGCACAGTCTGGCGCATAATCCAGTCCAATACACTTAAGAATATCAACGACGATAATAGGCAGTCAGCTTTGTCTTACTCCTGCATTCACTTCGAACCCCTCGCTGAGGGGTGGATCAGGTGGATCACCTGACTGACACATGGCATTGTTAAATAGACAACTGTTGAATGAGGTTGACAAGGACTTGAGGTAAGCCGTAGTGTTGAAGTAGTTTCCGAATTGCTTCTCGGTCAACACTGTGTGGTGGAGGCCTTTTCGAAGTCGATGAAGTTGAGGTGGAGGTTTGACTGCCATTCTATGCTTTTTTCAATTATGATGCATAGGTTTGCAATTTGATCGGCACATGACTTACCTTTCCTAAATCCAGCTTGTCCCAGGCTGCGGGAGTTCTGTTTCCAGTTCATCTTGTATTCTCTCCAGGATGATGAGACTTAGTATTTTACTTGGTGTGGACAAAAGCATTATTCCATGCCAGTTCTTGCACAGCCCTAAGTCGCCCTTCTTTGGCAGCTTGACAAGGTAGCCCTTATTCCAATCAGTAAGCACCTTTCCTTCTTTCCAAACGTTTTGCAATAAGTCACCTGACAGTAAAAATTGTAAATTCCTAAGGCAGTAAGAATTTTCCGTAGGCTTCAGATTTGCCTATTTAATAGATGCAAGCAAACAAGAAACTCAGATCAGGAATAACCTAATATCTAGAAACAAGATACTGCAAGTATGCAGAAATGCATAGACGGAAGGTCTGAAGACATTTAAAATTCATCTAGTGTCTTTATGGGCAGGAGTGAGTGTTTTAGCCCGTATCCAAATGTCTGCTGTCTTCATAATATTATGTAAACTACCATCAAAGGAACACCTCTCATCGCATAATAACAAAAGTATGCTTGTGTGAAACCATTATAAATAGTTGGGGAATTGAATGAATTCAAAGGAGATCACATTTTGAGCGGACCTTAGCTACAAAACCATTAAAAATCAAATGTTATTAGATTAAAACACTTAATGGTCAGAGGGTGAACCTCACGTAAAGTAAGGAGTGATCACCATGGATGAGTCTCAGATTGGAAAAGTGGCTGTTGGTTCTTTAGTTTGATTCATTCTGCAAAGAAAACTGTGATAAGGGAATTAACTGGGGTACTTAAAGTCTTCAACTTTTAATGGTCATCAGTACAATTAAAGTGCTGTTTTTAGGACAACATTTGAACTTGTTACGGTAAAACATAGATGGTGAATTACCCTTATTGCATCATTGGAGAAAAGTATAACATTCTACTCATTCATTGTGAATATGATATTCCTAAAATGCCATTATTTGCGTCAGTTAATAAAAGCATTATACTTACAACATACTTTAACATCTATTTTTCTTCACAAGTCATTTCAAAAAGATTTGATTTGAAATTTAACCAAATTAGGCTTACCTACTGGATGAAGCACTCTGCTTCTTCGTATTCAGTCCAGTCACTGTTCATGAATACTTTGCAAAAGATGTTTCACACCTCATTTAATAACCTCAGTTTCCAGCCACTAGATACATTGGTTTATACTATACCCATTAAATAATAAAAGTGGAGCAATAGCAGTTAAGAATGATATAACTTTTGATTCATTTCCACATTTTACCTTGTATTCTACTTACTTTAACACAGAAAACTTGGTAAGTACTTGATAGGTTTTGTTGAAAATATTTTCCACATTTCTCTTCAAACTTTTGGTGAAATAGATTAGATCTTCAAGACTGCATGTAAGCTAAACAACTTGTTCGCGATTTACTCCTTGTAGATAAATCATCTACCCCCACTTTTAAAATTAAAAATCACATGAAGGCTCTTGTTTCTTAACTCAGTCATCATTTCTTTATTGAGACATGAAATCATTAATTCTTCATTCTATTCATTCTTTTATATTTTAGCAGGAGACTGTCAATATACCTTCATGAAGATAGAGACAGACCCAGTCACAAAATGTAAATTAATTTGTTCCTGGAAGAATAGTTTAAACCATTTGGATGAACAGTTGAAGAAATATGCAAATATTAAAAGTAACAACAATACCTTATTTAAAGAAGTAAATCAAGTATGTTTTCTTCGGCGATATTTTTTATCACATATTAGTTATAATAATAACAATAATAATAATAATCCCATTATGGGTTTCATAGGGATTTCGATTAATTTCATTGTAGATTTCGTCACAAACTAACATTAGTTAGAGAATCAATGGAAATCAGGCAACAGTAAACAGCTATTTCGTCCTAGTTTGGGGCTCTTCATCAATGAGTACTCACAATCATACCAAGGAATGAATTGACTGAAGCTAGAATTCTATGACCTTTCATCCCCCACTCAAGTGGCTGGATGATCAACAGGCTGGCTTAGTAAATTAGAGTTCCTGAGTTCGATAACTGGTGGAGCTGTAGGTGCCCACTGTGGAATCCTAAGTCGGGATATGGAACAGCTGTCCAGACTCCCTGATTACCAATGATTCTTTGACTTATTTTAGTTGCTGACTACATCTGCCCTGAAATTAGTAAATATAAGAGGAAGAAGAATGATCTGACTCTGGACAGCGTTTTTATATAAAACACACAATAATAAATATTATGGCATTTAATGTAATGCCTAAGGGTGCAAAATATCCCCATGTCCTGAATTAGAAGTTCGTCGGAACGAAAAATGTTCTTTTCAAGAAACTCTCCTCAGCTCATTACAGTTACTAAATAAAGCATTTTATATCATTACAGTGATAGCAAGTTATGCGGCAACGTAAAATAACACACTGGTTATATTGTGATAAAATGAATAGTATTTCTATGACAAACGTATCAGGCTGAACGCAATTACAAAATGTACTGAGGTACGAGATGATTATGGCAATTAGTAATATAAGATTCATTCAGTGTTGGGAAGGAAGATTAACAAGTTAGTTCAAGGTTGTGAAACATGTTTGGTAGAATTTCCTAAGTTTGCTTTATACCAGTGGGAAGGAACATTTAAATAACTATTTCTATACAGAAAGTTTTCACAGCACAGGTGAATGATTTTTATAACTTCCATTTCCTCCTTACTTGATGACATCTGCTTTTTGATAACATTCAGTGAATATTTGTTACTACCTTTTTCATTTCAGTAGTTGAATTATTTCCACTAAAATGTCACGGCATATTGCTGTAGTTCATTCCAAACAGCACACCTCTTATTGATCATATTTCAGGCACAATTTATTCATTATAGTTACATGAAGGCATGAGCACAACAAAAATGGATCAATATTTTCTCGAAATGTCCCTCGTGAATCAATAATAGTGTATCCCTTTATGATGCATTAAATTTCCATAATTTCATCCCAAAGTAACATGAATTTTATCTGTCTATACCCTTTACAGATAATTACGATGAAAAGCCATTTGTTTAAGAACTCCAGTGAAAAAGTCCTGTTGTTCAATTATTTGGACCCAATATTTGAAACCTTATCTAAACACTGGATACCTGAAACAACCTCAAATAGTAGTCGTATAAGATGTAGTACTGATACCATCAGCGTCAGTGATCAAAAGAATATAATTGCCGAAATTAATACGGCTGAACAGTTGTCTTTTTATCTTGAGCAACATTCCAATAGTCAGTCAAATATTCCTAGTGATGGGTTGGTTGTAATTTCAGATTTTTGGTTGAATGAACTACCTCTGGAATCTTTTATAACGAATACTCTACTTATTGAGTTAAGTAGTAGTGATTGCCAGTTGTATAGAAGACAAAGTTCTCTTATTCGAAGAGGTCAAACCACAGCAGCATCTAATTCTAGCAAACAAAACCATTCACCTGCGTTGAAGAGAATCAATAGAGTTTTACCATTCAGCTGGTTGACACGAGACTTTAGTGTACAGCTGCTTTATTCACGTTTAACAGGTTTGTTGAAATGAATGTTCTTTCATTTATGCAAATTCACTCAATGACTACACAATCTAATGATTAATAATGTCACTCATTCACTATTTTCCAGAAAATAAGGCAGGTTAGAACTTTTCTTTCCTTACGGGGAGAACCAATACATGTTTTTTGTATATCAGAATGCAGTGAAAATATATTTCATTTCAGCAGCATATGTTATCAAGCCCTATGAGAATAATCCGAAAGTTTATGAACTATTCTAGGTTCATTACCTCTAAACGACTAGGTTTGAAATGAACTTACAAAACTATCTAGTTTTCTTCCAAAGAGGAAAGATGTTGATAGCGCTCAAAACTGATAAATTCACAAACCTATAAACTAGGTGTAATTATTCGATGTTTATGTTGTGTACAGAATTCGAAGAGATACAGCAACAAATAATTAAGTCCATCTTATATGTACCAATAACTTATCCAACGGTAAAGGAATCAGAAATAATTCTCCAGTTGTATAATGTTTAGACGACTACGTAATTGTATAATACTTCAAAAGAAAAACATTTTTTCACACAAATTTGAAGTTGTGAAAATTGTGTCTCGTATTATGATGAAACCACATCTACCCCCACAAAACATCAAGGATAAATAATGAGTTGGGGTCCCCCTTATAAGTGCGGAAAGATTTCATATGGTCATAGTATGAAAGCAGGACGCTCCATGGAAATCTTTGTCGTTTTGCGCGTTAATAGCTGTATTCAAGACAGATATATCCTTCTCTCTAAGTCCTTTTAGATTAAAATCAACGTCACTGAACAGTGACTTAAACATAATGCTCATTAGGCTGAAGGATTATTTTGCTAATCATTTTCATCACTGGAAACAATCTTCCAACCATCCCTAGTACATATATATATGTCAGGTTGTTTGCTGCAGAACAGACCACCAGCCAGTTTCTTGAGCCTCTCATTACTCTATGTTCTCATTTCACAAGGACAATCGCCTTTGTTATTGATTATAGAAACTGAATCTCCATATTCCTCTAACAAATTCTTACTTCTTTGTGTGATGCGTTATTAACTGACACATTTTCATTAATAATTTTCACGCTCATGCGACTTTTCTATAAGTCTGTATGTAAGACTTTGTCACCATTTTATTTTACTACCAACTTAATCATTGAGTAATAGCCAACTAGTTGGTAACTATTAGATACATATCAACTAGAAAACTGAAATTTGAACTGAAATTATTTTAGGACATCAGAATACACAGAAATCTGAAGATCAGTCAGCTGAAAATCACGAACAAAGTGCACAACATAAAACAGCGAGAAAAACAGATATCATTCGTGGATCTAGCCGACATCCTCTGTTGCGTGACACTGGTGCCAAACTGCCACCGTTACAATCTTCCAAGCAGGTAGGTCATGATTTATTATGTAACTATGGTCTTCTATTAATTCCAAGAGCTTTTGTGTAACTGGAACTGTACTGATGTCAGCGATTTAAGTGGGGGAAAGTCTTCCCTTCAACAGGGTTAGTTGAGAACAAACCTGCAGTTAAATATACATTTGATGGGACGCAAATACTTATAAATATCTCAACTAATAAACTCAGTCTCCACATTCCCTAGCATGGGATATTAACTAGGCAGTTTACAAGTGAATCGGGAGGGAATTGAACCCTGAATTACGTGTGTAGTTCATGAGTATTCTACTACTGAATCACCTGTTGAAAATATGGTCCTTATAAAGTATTTTGGGCCTTGCTAATGCATTATTCCACTCTTGTTGTCACATATCTGAGCTATAATTATCTGTGTTTAGTTAATTAACCCGTGGTGGGTTTTTTTGATTGGACACTAGTAACTAGTGTAACGTGTCCAGTCGTTTCTATGGTGCAGACTGAATTCTATCAGTCAGGTTTGCAATGTGGGCACCATTATAGGTAGGTCGCCATCAAGGTGCACATTAATTTTATGATACGCCTTGCTGACGAGTGCCAACTAGCACAAAACTTAAGTGCAAGGCTTCCTGTCGATTACCTCCAACTATGTAATAACCTGTGGTGGATTATCACTTCAGATTTATCTCCATTTCCATCAATTAAAAACCTGAAAAACAAATTTATGTTAGAAATGTATTCAAAAGTGAAAACACGAGGTGTCCTAGAGTAAACGTCATCGTCAGTGGAAACCAGCATGTATTGTAATTAAGTCTGAAACATACAAAAAACAACCCATATGCAAAATTTCCAAAAGATTTCTTCCTTTCACTAAGTAGATTTCATTATTCTATCCCAAGACTTATCACATCACTAAATACCAATTTTATCCTTATTTTTCTAGCAAAACTCAGGATGTCTAGTGGTCAACACTTCGTGTATGCGTTACCTGGTCGACCCATTTCTAGACACTGAAATAGTTGGTGCTGACACAACTACAAGTGCTTCTAGAGAGACAGTCATTGGCAATGATGATAATAATAATAATAACGCGAAATTCACTGGAATCTCACTTAAAAATCACCTTCAGTTACTATTGAAAGAACCGTCAGCACGTAATCAGCAGTTCACTTCACGCTGGATTGGTTTAATGGGTGACTGGGAGTTGGGAAAAGTACCAACTAAGGAAGAATTGACAGTGTTTTTAAATGAAGGAGCCAGTGGACTAATCACTTATAGTACTGAATCTTTCTTATCGTATTTACCTCCATCAGCATTTGTGAATTTATCAATTCCTAGTAAGTTAGTTTTTAGTTGAATACTCATAACACATTTATTTAATCTTTTTGTTTATCATTTTAATCATTCTGACCTTATGCTAACCTTATTATTGAGTTCGATATCGTAGATTACACAAAATGACTTTTGTAAAATGTAACAACTTCTAGTAAGTTTGCTTGTCAAATACACGAAGAAGATGATGTGCGTCGGTGGCACAGTGGTTAGGACTCTTCCCGATCATGCACATGCTCCGGGGTCCGATCCCCTGCCAACGCACATCCGATATCTATCGTCGGCCTGCAAAATTTGGGCTACCGATGTCCATGCTGAAAATTCCATACTTGTACCGAAAATACGGTGTGGCATCAAGCTGTAATCAAAAATAAAGAAATATAAAATAAAAATGATAAATGATAATTATCCATGCTACCACTAAATAACGCAAAATAACCCAAAAAGATGTGACCATAAACAATATCAACGAAGACAATATCAACTTGCTTATTTAGACTTACAACAAAGAGATTTGAATCCCTTAAACCAAACTGATATCTGCAAAAAAAGGAGCGGCTAGTGTAAATCAAATAATCCACTGGTTAATATTTTGTCGTTTAATGGAGATATAGATCTCATGCAAACAAACATTCAACACATGTATGTACAGCTAGCTGTTAATTCTTAAGCAAAATTAAATTTGTGTCCTGTTCTGCTTTCCACTACTGGTCAGTATTATTATTATTGTTCCCTTGGGTTCCTAGTGGGACATAGGGCTTCAACTGCACGTCTCCACTTGCTTCTGTCTTCTGCTGTACTTTTCACTTGCATCCATGTTAGTCCATACTGTTTCAACTCTTCTTCACACGATCTCCTCCATATCACCCTTGGACGTCCCACTCACCGCTTCCCTTTCGGGTTCCACTCCAGGGCCTGACGCGCGATGTCACCCAGAGGCCTCCTCAGCGAGTGTCCAATCCATCTCCATTTTCTCCTGCATATTTGTTGGGCGATTGGTTCTTGTTTTGTTTGTTCCCATAGCTTCTTGTTTGTGATTCTTTCCGACCATCTGATCTTCAGTATACAGCGAAGACAGTTGTTGATAAAGGTCTGCAACCTGTTACTGGTCATAGTAAAATATATTATCACAATAAATTTGTATGACCATTTTATGGTAACAATTATTACCATTATTACTGACAGGTAGAAGGGATAGCTATAGGTTCACCATCCGACCCAATATTAGCCCACTTCTTCCTTGCAAAACTTGAAAACGGGAGATTGAAAGACATCATCAAGGAGTTGGATATGTATTTCCGTTAAATCGACGATAAATTTATCTTAGTTGATGTGAATGCAAACATAGACGAATTGTCGATGAAATTCAACAACATCTTCCCCCCGCTTACTTTTACTTATGAAGAGGAGAAGGATATCAAACTGCATTTTCGGGACGTCTTGCTAAGTAGTGAGAAGATGGATCACTTGGGAGAAGCGTGTGTAGAAAAAGCACGTTGACAGGGCAATACACACACTTCCTTAATTAAGTGCCCATTAAATATCAAAGAAATGTTAAATGTCTTACGAGCAGAGCAAGAAGGATGTGTACGGATGACCACTTAAAAAGGAATTTGAATATATTCACGACTCCTTGACGGAGATGGGCTATCCGAGTAGTTTCATAAAATATTCAGTTGACGACTATAAGTTGTACACATATTAAATGTTATTTTTTTTCAATTGATTTGAATTTTCTGTTTTTCTGTAAATTCATTGGCATATTGTCTCCCAGGTTGATTGACTCGATATCGTCTTTGGTTCCATTCAGATGTTATTTAATTATTCATCTTGTTTTACGTGAATAACCTTTGTTTAAATAGATTGCTACTTTATTTGTCATCTGGATAAAATTTATACAAGAAGTAGTCGTCTCCGGCAAATGAAATTAGATGCTCATAAAACGTAAGTTCCATTGCTTTTTATTCTTATGTGTATCTGACTTTCCTCAGGCGTGAGGCTAGCAACCCCACCCTGTAAACAAACCTGCTACAGAAACTTCAGCACGATGTATCTCCTTGAGACAAAAGAAAAAGTCTTTGTGGGGACATGAAATGTCCGTACTATGTACGAGATTGGCAAAGCTGCCCAGATTGCAAACGAAATGAAAAGATACAAAATTCAAGTACTGGGAATATGTGAAAGCAGATGGAACGGGAATGGACTCACCAAATTGTCAACGGGTGAGTCAGTGATCTACTCCGGTCACCCATAAGATAACCACTCGCACACCGAGGGCGTGGCTATCATGATGTCACCAACGGCAACCAAGGCCCTGATGCAATGGGAGGCGATCTCGCCCAGGATAATAACCGCCAGATTCAACTCTAAAGGAAGGAAAGTGTCAATTATACAATGCTATGCACCGACCAACAACGAAGACTTCGAAAAGAAAGAAGAATTCTACAGACAACTGCAGACAACAATGGACAATACTCCAGCTGGGAGACATGAACGCCAAACTGGGATCAGATAACACAGGAAGGGAACTCATCATGGGTAGAGAAGCTCTCGGAGAAATGAATGAAAACGGAGAACTCTTCGCCGACTTCTGCGCCTTCAATGAACTAGTGATTGGTGGCAGCGTATACAAACACAAGGATATCCACAAGGCTACATGGGTGTCACCAGATGGGCGAACCAAAAACCAAATCGACTTCATCTCAATCTCAAGGAAGTGGAGGCGCAGCCTGCTGGACACAAAAGTAAGAAGAGGAGCAGACATTGGCTCAGACCACTATCTCGTACAAGGGACAATCCAAATCAAATTAAAAGCTTTCAGAGAATCAGGAGCTGCAGATAGACCACAAGCCAAGTTCAACACTCAAAAACTGAAGGACCAGGACACAAAGGACACCTTCACTGCAAGTATAAAAGACAAGGCCGAGGCACAAATCAACACTGGCGAAGAGGTCAGCGTCGAAAAGCACTGGAACAACTTGAAAACAGTGTGGAGTCAAACCTACATGGAAGTTCTAGGCAGAAAGAAGAGACAGGACAAACAGTGGCTCACTACGGACACTTGGAAACTAATAGAAGAGAGAGGGATGGTGAAACAAAAGATTCTCCAGTGCACCGATGAGCAACAAAAACAGGATTTGAACGCAAGCTACAAGACACTGAACAAAAGAGTAAAGAAGAGTGCCAGAGAAGACAAAAGAAAGTACTATGAAACCATGGCAAGTGAGGCAGAACAAGCTGCAGGCAAAGGAGACCTCGCAACACTCTACCAAACTACTAGATACCTATCGGGCAAACGTTTGACACAAATCAAGCCGGTGAAGGAAAGTCACTCAACAAAGAAGTGGAGCAAAGGAAACACTGGGCTGAACACTTCAAAAGACTCCTAAATCGACCACCACCTACAACGCGCCCAACAATACCAACGACGGAGACAGAGCTACCAGTGAACACCAACCCCCCCCCCCCCGACGAAATCAGAAGTCCTGAAGGCAATCAAGATGCTAAAAGCTGGAAAAGCAGCAGGACCAGATGGAATCCCAGCAGAAGCATTGAAAGTGGACCCAGAGACAACAGCGGACTTGATGACGCCACTACTGGAGAAAGTGTGGAAAGAAGGCAAAGTACCCGAGGATTGGAAGAAAGGATACTTATTCAAACTACCAAAGAAAGGAGACTTAAGTCAATGCAAGAACTGGCGCGGAATTATGCTCCTGCCCATCCCAAGCAAAATACTAAGCCGCATCATCCTGGAGAGAATCAAACATGCCCTGGATGAAAAACTTCGACCGGAACAGACTGGATTCAGGAGAAACAAGTCATGCATTGATCAGATCGCCACATTACGGATCATCATTGAACAAAGCTTGGAATGGCAGTCATCTCTCTATCTCAACTTCATCGACTTTGAAAAGGCCTTTGACAGCGTCGATCGAGAGGTGATTTGGCAACTACTTCGCTACTACGGGGTGCCACCGACAATTATACATCTCATCCAACAGCTATACGACAATGCTGCATGCCAAGTAATCCACAATGGGAAACTTACGGAACCCTTCGAAGTGAGGACAGGAGTAAGACAAGGCTGCCTACTATCGCCAATGATTTTCTTGATTGCAGTAGACTGGATAATGCGACAAACAGTGGGCAATGAGGAAACAGGCATAAAATGGACACACACAAAAAACTTGGAGGATCTGGACTTCGCCAATGATATATGTCTGATTTCCCACAAACTGGAAGATATGCAAGTGAAAAGCAACAAGTTGGCAGAAGAAGCATCAAAGATAGGACTTCAGGTGAACATAGAGAAAACAGAGGTGATGAAAATTCCTGGGCAACGCCACCAACAGCAACAACAACAACTGACAACAATCAGCATAAATGGAAGGAACCTGAAAGAAACAACCTCCTTCCTACCTACCTGGGAAGCATCGTTTCAACTACAGGCGGAACTGACGAGGATATCAAAGCAAGAATCGGAAAAGCAAGACAAGCTTTCACTACTCTCAAGTCTGTGTGGAGGTCAACAACTCTCAGCATCAAAAATAAGATCCGGATTTTCAACTCCAATGTGAAGTCAGTCAGTGCTACTATACGGATCAGAGACTTGGCCAGCGCGTCATAAAGAGCATCTCAAACAAACTACAGACCTTCATTAACAGTTGTCTTCGCTCAATACTCAAGATCAGATGGCTGGCCAGAAAAGATCAGCAACAGGGAGGGATCTCTGGGAGCAAACCAACCAGGAACCGATTGTGAAACAAATCTGCAGGAAGAAATGGAGATGGATTGGCCATACTCTGAGGAAACCATCAAGTGACATCACTAGACAAGCCATTGCTCGAGTGGAACCCGAAAGGGAAGCGGCGAGTTGGTCGTCAGTGCAAGGGTGACTTGGAGGAGGTCATGTGAAGAGGAGATGAAGGCGTGTGGGCAGACTTGGAGCCAGGTGAAGACTCTAGCAGAGAACCGAACGCAATGGAGACGCGCGGCTGAAGCCCTATGTTCCTGTAGGAATTAAAGGATACAATAATAATAATAATAATAAATAATCTGACTTTCAACCAACCAGTATTGGGACTGGTAAAGAGGGAAGGTTGGGCATGAGGCTAGCAACCTCATCCCATAAAAATAAACACCACTGGTACCGAAACTTCAAGCCTCTAGCTTGAAGCCCTATGTCCCACTGTGAACGTAATGGAATAAAAAAGTGTATAGGGTAATATAAGGATACTCTGCTAGTAAGTGCTACCAGTTAACATGAGTGGTTTTTGATCACTCATATCAATCAGTAGTATGTAATTTCATTTCATTTCGTCTACTTTCATAATTGCCATTTATGGTATCAGACAGACCACATGCTGCGATTCAAGTTTCCAAAGTAAATAGCATTGAACTTACACCTTAAACTGTTTAATTTGCAAGTGACAAATTTGACTCTAGATTCCATAGAGATTTTCAAAGACGGCAAGGAGTTATTCCGTGACTTTTCCCTATTATCAGAGCAATCTGTACGAAAATCGGTGTATCTGGATCGATGAGAAGACTCTAGAAGATCTGGATTTCGTGGACGATTAAAGTCTAATATCATATAAACTCGAAGTCTTACAGGCGTAAACCAACAAGTTGACAGAAGAAGCATCAATGCTAGGACTTCAAGTGAACGCAGAAAAAGTGGAAGTGATAGAGATAACCGACCAACACAACAAGCACCAATCCTCATTAACAGAACAAACTTGAAAGAGGTCATTTCATTCCTTCACCTATCTAACCAGCATCGTTTCAACTACAGGCGGTGGCACGGATGATGTTGTCCAAATGAGGATTAGAAAGTCAAGGCAGAACCTCATCACCCTGTAATCATTTTAAGAATCCACCGCACTCAGCAATAAGAACAAAATTCGGATTTTCAACACCGATGTTAAGTCAGTTCTTCTGTATCGGTCAGAGACTTGGCCTATGTAAAGGTTTTCCAACAGACTTCAGACTTTTGTCAGCATCTGGCTTCTTTCAATACTGAAGATTAGATGGCTAGAAGGAACTAGCGACAAGAAACTCTGGGAATGTTTCAATCAAGAATTTATTTTTCGAAGTTCAGGCCACCGTTGAGTGACATCATATGCAAGGCCCTCAGGTGGAAACCAAATGGTGAACAACAGGTTGGACGTCCAACTGTGACATAGTGGAGGTGGTGTGAGAGGGTGATGAGAGACTATGGGCATGCGTGGGGACAACTAAATAGGACTTCAGAGAACATAATGAAATAGAGATATGCTGTTGAAGCCTCATATTCCACTCGGAACCCAAGGGAATAATGAACAGATTCACTATGTCGCGTGTAACTAATTTTCAAAGTGTTTTCACAAAGTCAGTAATATTTGGACTACCATTTAATAAAACCAAAGATGGCTAATCTAACATATCCCTTTGATTTGAAATATTTAAGCCATATTCTACCAAAATCCCTCCAATATGGAACCAATAGACCTCTGGTTATTTAAAATCATAACTATATCCTATTCTGCCACAAATTTTTATTTTTAAGCAAATCAGACTTAAGTTAACATGTATTCATTCTTATGTAGTTTTTGTCTTTAGTAGTAAAATTTCAAAATTACTGATTTTTATTTCAAAGAAGTAAGGCACAGCAAATCATAAACGTAGTTACTGAGTGTTTTTCTTTGTTACACTTTCATCTAGGATAATAGAAAGTGAGTTGGAGCAAGCTTTATCTACAGCTGTCACCACGACACTAACTGGATCACGTTCTGTGATAACTCTGCAATGGCCTACAAGCTTAAAAATCAATCAGTTTAGATTAGAAAAACTAATAGGACGTAAGTAACTATTAACTGTATTTTATTTTTGAAACTATTAGATTTATCACAAATATTACAAACTATAGAACTTTAATTCACTTTCAGATTTTCCAGTATGATTGATTTGTTCAAAGTGCTCGGCCTCGGGTTGACGTGTCGGCTCCTTGTGCGGATACTTCGATGATGTCTGGTCCTGTAACTTGAAGTCAGTAGGTGGATGATGACTGGAAATGGAATCCAGGAAGTGCGTTTCGTCCTATTTGGAACTCTTCAGCCAAGTGGTGTGGTGGATAACACTTTGGCGTTTGAAACTATGGGCACTGGGTTCGAACCTCAGTGGGAACACCATCACTTACTCACTGAGGAATGCAGGTACATCCAGTGAAGAGTCCCGAATAGGACGAAAAGCACATCCTGCACTTCACTGCTAGTCACCATCCACCAGTTAAACTGTAGAACTGATGAAAATGTGAAGTAAATGAATCCTACATAGAAGTTAATCAGATCCCCATAATCCATATTCCGTTCTACTCCAACTAAATGACAACATACCAAATTTTCTCGGCTACCCAGTGGGGTCACAGTAGCACTATACTAAAGAGTATAACAGTTGCATAAAAAGGTTACCCAGTACTATCTAGCTTACAATGATCCTCCAACTGATGCTGCTTCGTAATCAAAACTGCATTTAAATCAGTTGGTTCCCAATACATCTAATGAAAATATTGTTTATTTTTTCAAAACCAGCATATGAAGAGATATCGAGCATTTCTATACTACTGAAAGTGAGTGTAATTAGTGTAATTGTTGATGTTTTTACTCAGATTCTGTAACAAAATCCATTCTTCTAAGCGACAGAGTCTTTTGCGTTAGTGACTATATGGCAGCACCCAAAGTGATTTAATTTATACAGACCACATATTTAAATCACTGGAATTATGGTCGGCTACCGAAGTGAACTGAAAACTAAAATTTAGTTCAACTTTAAATAAAATACAACATATTAAACGATATTCTACCACTGCTTTTCTGAAAAGCACATTAACAGAAAGAACATTAGATACTCAGATTAACCATGTGTGGATGGATAGCACTGAAGGAGAAATCCTGCTTCAAAATGGTGATTTTTGCAAACACCCTATATCGGTTCTAAATTCTGAGATATCTGTCTGATGAGATTCAACTGACATAAATCATCACGCTGATACCCCTTAATAATTGCAATTGAACAAGTAACACTGGAAACTAACCTCTGTCATTATAGAGGGATTTGTATAGGCGTTTGAAACTACTCACTCAATAATAATAATAACAGCTTTATTCCAAACAGTATTTGTGGTACAGGTATGGAATTTTCAGCGTGCATTACAATATTGCATCTAATTACCTCATAAATTTTATAAGATTTTAAAAACAAAAAGCAACAACAACAAAAAATAGATAAATAAAAAGAAATAAAAAAGAACAGCGTTGCATTCATATTTTAAACAATGCACCACAGGAATATGAAATATAAAATTAGTGTGTAATAGAAGATGTGAACAACAATATAATAGTAACACAGAAAGGAAAACAAAAACTAATGGGAACTATTTGTTAGAGTGCCGCAGTAAGTTGATCGTGTCATACCTAACGGATTTCTCATCACATAACAGCTGTGCCAGATAAGGTATTGTGGAGTTTTTGTACTTGGTAGTCCTGGCATATAGCCTCCTATAGTTGCTTCTAGTTCTACCAGATGAAATGCAAGGAGAGAGCTGCGTATAGAGAGGATGCTCGGGGTCTGACAATATAGTATTCGCTAGTTTCTTACATGACATTATATGTCTATCCACAATAGTGTTAACCAGTTGGTTTAACGATATCCCACTTCCCCTACTAACAGCTTTTAGTGCCCTTCTCAGCAAAGCAAAATCTTTCTTAAGTAGTCCAGGAAAGATTAATGGGGAGCAGTAAAGAGGGATGGGTAGAATACAAGAATTGACAAACTGAGAAAGCAAAGACTGCTTTATACCAGACTGCCTTAATTTCCTAACGTAGAACGTTAAGCGAAACATCTTTCTAGTAACTAGCAAGATGTGAGAGGACCAGGAAAGATCGGAGGAAATACTCAGTCCAAGGTACTTGACATTAGATGTAATTTCAACCTCTATGCCGTCAATGATAGTGGGGCCATGTGAGCTAGCTAGTTGTTGTAGGTCACGTTTTCGTCTGAAAGTGAAATTGACTACCTGACATTTAGACGGATTTAGCTTAAGACCGTTTGAAGAGGACCACTGACTAATTTCCGACAGAAAGTAATTTAATTTGGAACAATCTGACTGAGAGTTGACAGGCATAGAAACAGAGAGGTCATCAGCATACTTGACAAAAGTGGCTACATCAGAATGGGGCAAGTCATGTAAGAAAAAAGAAAACAGAAAAGGAGAAAGAACAGCACCTTGAGGAACACCAGCTAAAGTAAGTGAGATAGTGGAGGACTTTCCATTGTAGACGGTGTACTGCTTCCTATTAGAAAAATAGGAATGCAACCACTTATTTGTCCATCTATCAGCCTGTGTTGCAGCAAGCTTACTTAGCAAGAGAGACCTAGGTACTGAGTCAAATGCAGATGTGTAATCAAGGAAGGCACACCGAACATATTTAGCTCCTCCATCTAAACTAGAGATATGATATAAAACAACAGTGGCATCTAAGGTACACCTACTGTGTTTATAAGCAAACTGGTTGGGGTCAGTGAAAGGCTTTAAAGAGGGTGCAAGATTAAGTAAAATAAGTATTTCGATTTGTCAACTCCGGCACAAAAACTGCATTGATTCATGTTGATACAATTTTTAGCATTACAAACAAAGGGACAACAAAGAGCAATAAACATATAAGAACATAAGGAAGATACTGACAGAAGGCAAAAAGGCATTCTGCTGTTTTGTGTACTAAATTAAAAAAGTGAAACTGCTTGGAGTTGATCTGTATTATGTATTTTAGATCCTATATAAAATAGATTTCATGGTTTTGACTTTTCTCAGTGAATAGGATTGACTGGTTTCAACTTAGAACTTTGGACAGATTTGCAGCAGTTCGAGTCGCCACACTTCACTAAGCATATCAAGCAAGAGAAAAGAGTAAAACGAGTTTCAAAACAGAGACATGAGGCAAAAAGATAAGAAATATGGAAGAACAAATATGGTTTCGTTGGATATTATCAGTCACAAAGAGTGAATGCATCTACGCCTTTGACAACAGTTTCGAGCCATATCATCAGTTGTCTCCAGCCGCTGGCTTTTACCATCCCGAGGACCCCAACCAGGAAGCTAGTCTACACCTTCCTACTTGACTGGCTGGTTTATACTAACTGCTATGGATTTCAGTGACTGATGAAGCCATGTTTTGGTTTGACCACCCCTAGCTTTTTTCCAACTTGATTCTATGTCAGTCAGCTAACATTGCGCATTGTCGTGGAAGGCAATGGCTAGTCATGCGTAACCATCTCAATCGGTGTAACTTCACAACCTCGTCTATTGATTTCATTTCCAAAAGCAAACGAAGCCCTTCTGGGAAATTATTATCATACAGCCTAGATGAATTTAAGTTTTCACATTTTACACACATTTAAAACCTATTACTTCAGTCATTTTCGTTTGCCATATGGCTGTTCAATAGGGTCTGCTCTTGAAAAGACGCTAAAATGTTTCGCATATTATTGGCCTACTCATGAGTAGTATATAACTTAGTGCAAAAATTTGTCAAAACGTCTGGAAAAAGTGAAACTCCAACAAACTGTTTACAAATACTTATCATTTCGTATTACCAGTTAATGAGAAGATAGCAAAGATTTGGGTCAAGCATTGAATAAATACTTCTGTCTCATCACAAATAATTATAGAAGCTTAATATAATTATTAGTAGTAACTGACCGTATAGTAAATTTATGGTGAATTCGAAATTTCTGTGCATGCTTAACAGACCTATTTTCCTAGAAGTACAGCCATTTCAGAGAAGGCGAACTATTTCAGCACAAAATTTATTTTAACCGTTCCTTCTGACTCAACCTATTCTGCTTTACAAAACTGGTATATACGTAAATATAGTCTGAGTGTTACCGAGTGAAGTTAAGTAGAGGAAATTCCGCATAATACACCACTTAATGAAGACCTTTAAATTTTAAACTCGAAAGTTATCCGTATTTTATTAATAGAAATCATATAGTCATTTGTGGGATAACAGACTCAGCACCTTAAAATGAGTGATTCATTTGATATTCTTCTTATCCGCTAACCTGTAGAGTTAAGGCGCTATGTTTTGACTGTCCTACTAAATGTCATTACTTTTATGAAGCACTTACTCATTTATCTCTATGTGTTGTAACATATCCTGATCTCAGTCTCATTGAGAATTATGTCACTGAACATCCTCATCCTGTGTGTTTTGATCTGGGCCCAAAAGACACGGTTGAAAATATGGAAGAACTCAAGTTATCAAAAATTATATTTGTAAAATCTCGGCGAGATTGAAATGAGTAATTCCAACGTTTCGTTCGGCATTCTGGTCCGAACTTCTTCAAGGAAATTAATCGAAATTAACATAACAGGAATTACTCATTTCAATCTCGCTGAGACTTTACAAATATAATTTTTGACAAATGTCTACTTCTCACTAGGCGCCCAAATATTTTAGAACTATTCTGTCAAATCTTGACGACAGTTCATTTGAACTCAAGTTATCACCCAAAGATGTAAATAGACGTCTCTTCTTCTGTCTCGCTTCATTTTCTTGAGCTACGCAAATCATCACAGACTTCTTTTTATTGTTTACACAGTCTTAGGGTTCACTACATTGATCGTATTTGACAAATTGATACGTCTACCTTTTAATGTTTCAGTCGAAACAATTAAGTTTGTTTCAATACGTCATCATTTTTTTTATTCCTTTGCGTTCCCAGTGGAACATAGGGTTTCAAGCTAGAGCTCTAAAATTTCAGTGGCAGTGATCTTACTGAGTTGGGTTGCCAGCCTCTTTATTGGCTTTACTACTGGTCTAGCGAGGTATAGGAGTGTGTCAGTTGGGTATTGAACTTCAGACCTCTGAAGTGATTGGCGAGCGTTCTACCTCTGGACCACCGACACATTGTTTGTTTATACAGACTACAAATATTTCTCTTTAGAAGTAACCTTTTACAATTAAGAAATCTGTTAGGTTTTTCATTTTGGATGGTCATCATCATGACAGACACTAAGGATTTTCTTACTTACGAAACTCATTAGTCATACATTCACTTTATTTTTCACCATTGACCATTTGAACTGTCAGTACTGAAATATACCAAAAATACTTTTGTCTTGATTGATCATTGCTTCTCTGTTTCAGAGAGACTGCTTCGTGACACACTGGATCAGATTGCGTACAACATGTGTGTTCAAACAACCTCTGATATAATTAGACTTTGTGCATTGGAAAAACTACAAATACGAGCACATTTATTCCCTCTTTGTTGTCGAAAATTACACTTAATTAAATAGTTCTGGCTTTGTTCCTTTTTTTGTTTTATCCTGTTTATTTTATTATCTTTCTGTCCCCGTGCCAATGTTTTCTGCTACCGCGCAAACTGTGGTAACCTAAAATGGTACACTTGTACGTTATACTTACTATGTTTGCTCAGTAATTCGGACTCCATACGCTTCCATCGTAAGGTCTTTTTGAGACTAATAGTAATATCACTTATTTTCAGAATGAAATGCCTCTTTTATAAAACTATTCAAATTTACCGCTTAAAATCGCCATTCTATTGTTCTCTTTGTCTGACATGCATTTCTGTATTGATTTTTAATCATACTAGATTTACTAGATCAAGCCTATACTATTGGACAGTCAACTTTGCTGATACAGTATGAACTTTTTAAAAAAGAACTAGATGAATACAAAGTGCGTTTAAAACAAATCAATGAAGTCAAGGACATTCAAATGTCAAAAGAAAAATCACTCGATGAAGTGAATCATCTTGAAGGAAAATATGAAAATATACAGACGAAAATGACACCAACATTGGAACCATTCAATATGATTGTTTATGGATTGCCGAATATTTCTTTTGCTTAATTTAATGGATCAAAAAAGTACTCTTAATGGTGTCATCTTTCTTTATTCCGACTTAATTTTGTAATGTTACAGAATGAAAGCAGAGAAAAACACTCAAAATCAATTGTAGGAAATATTGAGTAGTCCTTTGATTTACTTTTCCTGATCAAACACACAATTTTCAATAGAAACTATGTCAGAAATATATTGTTACATCTAGACGTATGTATTATTTTTTGTGACCGAATGGGAAGTATTTTCACTGCGTCGATGAGAGATTTAGCTTGCCTTCATGACCCATGGCAGAAAATTAAGTGATCATAGAATTAACCGGATAGTAAGCTTTAGTCCAATTAAACAAAATTAACTGGCTACAGTACAAAGTAGATATTCCTATTTACAGCCCAATAACAATCAATATTTGTGCTTAATTTAAATATTTACTGTATAAGTCCTCTTAAATAACCCAGAAATTACTATGATTCTTTACAACTAGTCAACAGTCTATTAAAATTCCAGATAAATTACATTAATGTATATATAAATATTAGACTAAGTAACATGATGAAGACAATCAGAAATATCTTACTGGAAATGTTAAGAGAAAGACTTATTACCGCAGGTAGCAGCGATATGGCTGATGTTATATGTAAGGATATATAAGTAGTATAGTACAGTTTTTCTAAAAAAAAGTGACAAAGTTATCTATTTAGTCAGTAAATATCCTTTAGCAAATAATAATAACTACTTTCCTTACATAATCACAGCTCTAACATTTATTTATATTGTGTCTCAAACTGTTTACGTGCAACAGCATCATTATAAGTAAGTACTAATGCTCTGTGACGTCTTTGTGATGAATGATCGGGTTTTACTGAGTATGATTCTAACTACTCTAAACGGAATAAGTCAAAGTGATAATTATTTCTTATCTGAGTATCTTTCAGTCTACATTCCTCTATCATCTTAAGGTTAAGAGCTAATCTTGCTATTCCTGAATAATAAGTGAGGTATATTAATCACAAGTGAAATGCAGTACAACACTGCAATACATTGTAACTAGATATCAGGGCTCGATTCGTAAGAGAGTGGATCCCTTCATAACCTCTGATAATCACACCTATGTTGTGAAGTGTTGAAATTTAAAAAATCAATACTAAGATTGGTAGCATAATAATGTGTTTCATTTATTTACCGAGTAATCTACATTCTTGTCTTCCCAAATTCAAATGGATTACAGAGTGAGAGATAATCACTGGCTGATGAACCTCAACAGCACAAATCCTACATGTAAGACTCCCAGTCGATTAATTTTTAACTTGGATTACCAATTTTTACGCCTGTCTTGAGTTAGTGGTCTACTACAATTTGCTGTCCCACTAGTGTTGGTAACTAGTTTGAAACAGGAACGTTTGCAGGTCATATATGTAAATATATATATATATTAGGTAATCATTCATTTGTAAATGGAGCCATTGCATCTGAAATCCTTTTACATTTGATATTGGTGCCCTTGTACCTCCTGATACAAATATGAACCTGTAGGAGAGTAGCTGAACTGTCAAGTACTTGTTGTTTAACTTGATGGTCTTGCCCTCCATTCCTACAATGTGTGTTAGCTGACGGAGAGTTTCAGATTAGAATAAAATAGGTATTTAGTGCTCTATGGCTTTCAGTAGCTTCCCAAGCCATAAAGGTTCGCAATAAAATTTACCTTGATGACATTGCGTTTGAAGTCTACAAATAATAATTATCTTAAGTGAAATACATCATCACAGTCTATGCAATACCATCCAACTGCCTTCGAAAGTCTGATGATTAGTACTTGTCGCCTATAGATTCCAAGCCCAATAGAGCTAGGTTGACATAAAGGTTACGAACTGCTCTATCACTGTTTTTGACATAAATTAAATATAATTTTCCATAATACATTGCATTGCCTTCGAAATTATGTCCAATGATTTATAGGATCACAATTATTATTATTCCCTTGGGTTCCGAGTGGAACATACAGCTTAAACAATACATCTACAATTTCTTCTATTTTCTGCTGTCCTCTTCAGCTGTGTCCACGATTGACCATAATATCTCATCTCCTCCTCGCCACACAATCTCTTGCATATCACACTCACACTGACGACCCACTCATCGTTACCCAGTGGGATTCCACTCGAGCAATGGCCTGCATTGCGCGCGATGTCATTCGACTGCCTTCTCATTAGCATATACCCTATCCATCTCCATTCTCTCCTGCATATTTGTTGAGCAATGAGCTCTTGGTTGGTTTGTTACCAGCTAGAGTTTCGTGTTGCTAATTCCTTCTGGCCGGCCATTTGACTTTCAGTGTGGAGCCAGAGAAGGCAGCTGTTGACAAAAGTCTGTAACTAGTGTATTAGTATTTAGCTAAATTTTATTTGATATTATTTGAATAGTCAAAAAGTAAAATGAGAATTGAATTATCATTTTAATTATTTATTTCATATTGAAATCCATTCTCAGAGCATACTACTTTCCTACAGTATTGAAAACATTCTTGTCAGATTACTTTTAGCGTCTGTGAGACGTTGTATTGTCCAGCAGCCTCACCTACTGCCCATGACCCCCCCTCGCCTTGTTTTTATACTAAATTAACCACGTTTATGTAAACAATATTTCGATGATGACTGTGTATTTTAATACGAATGTTACACATTCCCATATAACGGGTAATAAATAGATATTCGAAATGGAAATAATACGCATAGCATGGGAATCACTTTTAAAGATAGAATCAACTATCAGATTCACCTAAATTATGGAAATATTTATAACAGCAAAATATAAACCTTAAATAATCATCTTCTTTCCCATTCATTTATTACATAAAAAAATGCACGAGTGTTTACACATTTTGTACGGATGCTGAAGCAACCCTGAATTATTATATCAGTTCTCACAAATATGCTCTTTTAAAGCTTCATCAGTAAGTAAACCATGAAATAGTGGAATGTTTCTCAACGAATGTTGACCATTGCATTCCGAAAATGACCATTCAAGGTTAAATAACTTCAGTTATGCAAAAAGAAGTATTAATTTACTATTTCTAAACGATATTTTAATTTATTTTAAAACTGCAGTTCCACTTTTTCAAAGGTTGTTACGTATATTTAGAATCCTTCCGACAATGTATTGCAGTTTGCTGATCAGGATTTGAAATAAAATTCACTAAATAATAAATTGTGTCAGAGGTTCAATGATAGAATTCTCACTGACCACGCAGGTGGTCCGGGCTCGATTCCCGACCGATGCACTCCTAAACCTCTCTTGGCTGATATTAAACTCGGTAATGATGGAAGGCTGGAATCGAGACTAGCAGCACGACAGCTACTGAAACTACAAAGCTCAAGTTTGAAACATCATACTCCGTTCAGAATGTAAAAAATGAAAAAATAATCATGGGTATTAAATATCTTAACCTATAATATTAATAATAGTTAATATTTGGTGAAACTGTTAGAAGTAATCTTATTTCAGTGGAGAGATTTATTACAGTGTAGTGATGTCAGGAGCTGAGACGAAATGGTGAGCCATCACAGGATTCTGGTCTCGAAATGAAGTGAACAGAGAGAGATCAGAACTTTGTTAAACCCTGTATATTGTAGCTCTATGGCTAAATTACTGACCAAACTCGTATCCCACTGTAATTTAAGCAGTATTACTTTCAATAGTTGGTTTGTAAGGATTAGATTTGTTTTTACGAGTTGATCACGGATTGATATCAATTAGAGAACCGTTGAAACTAGAATGAAACAGCTGTCCAGTACTCCTTGGTTTTCAATGTTTCTCTAATTGATATCAATCCGTGATCAACTCGTAAAATAAGTGTTATTTGCCTATGAATCACAACCATTCGATCGGTTTGACTGAGAACCGCTTTCTTATGCTTGTTAACATATTATTTACATTCAACTTACAAGATAACTAATGTTACAGGTGGAGATTTTTTTATTTCCTTCACGTTCCCAGTGGAACATAGGGCTTCAAGCTAGTGGCTTGAAGTTTCTGTAGAAGTGCTTATTTTACAGGATGGGGTTGCTAGCCTCATGCCTAACCTTTCCTCTTCACCAGCATTATTTCTGGCCTAGCGAGGCAAAGGATGCGTCGGCCGGGGATCGAACCTCGTACCATGTACAGGTGGAGATTAACGATACGATTATTTAAGAAGCATCATTCTACTTCATTTTGATACAGCCACAGTTACCGAAACAAACAGAATGTTTTTAAAGTAAGTAGAATGAAGGCAACAGGAACACATCGTATATTTTTGTCCATAGTAGGTTTAAATGTTGACGATTTCCAGGTCAGAGAGGTTTCTTCATGTTTTTTAAACTGGTGCTGACTGGCAACAGATGGTTATCTGGGCAGAACTGTAAAATGCGTTTTGGGACCTCACAGGTAGGTACCTTCAACAAACTCTTCAAACTAGCTCAAATGCCCTACTTGAGCATTAAACTCACCTCAGATCTATGTATGTAAGTGGTTTGCCTTAAGGAACAAACTAAACCGCTTCTGATAATGCCAGTGCTTTACGTCGTTCAAATTGCAGTCAATTGGTGCGTAAGCAGCGATTATGAAGTCTCATTACATATTCTCCCTCCACTCTTATGTGCGCTTTTTCCGAAATATAACTAATTGAGCTAATGCGCCTCTATGCAGAGTTCTACAGTGATAATTCGGCCATTCCCAGACAAAACTTATAGATCATTGCTTTGCTTCCTGTTGTGATTAAAACTGTTTAAGTGTTTCATTGTAGAGATTTGATCGATTTCAGAGTGGATTTTGTCGAGAAATTAAATCAGTATTCAATAGTTCCCTTATTAGTGCTGATTCGTGAGAAAACTTAACCTTTTTGTTTAAACGCTAAAAGTTAGAGAAGCTGAACGTACAACTTTCACAGTGACACTTGATAGATTAGTTAGCTGGTGGAAAAAGTGATCCCTTGGTTTTTATAAAATCTTATAAAATACAAATCATAACCATTCCCATAAATTCCCGTTCTGTTAATAAACCTATCCAAATGGCATATCTTAATAATGATCTGTTATTTCACATGTACTGGTGTCTGAAGTAAATCCCCTAAAAATAAGGCTCCTCTTGATACTTTTCCGTATTGATTTTTTTTATTATTTTTTATTATTTCAGCTCGATGCCACACCGTATTTTCAGTACAAGTATGGAATTTTCAGCATGGATATCGTAGCCCAAATTTCGCAGGCCGACCATAGATATCGGGTGTGCGCCGGCAGGGGATCGGACCCCGGACCATGTGCATGGTCGGCGAGAGTCCTAACCACTGTGCCACCGACGCACTTGAAGTTCAGTTACTGTGCTATTGTCAGTTTTGCACTATTTACGTCTAAATCTATACCTCAGTAAGCAGAATAATTTCATGCTAACTCCCTATGGGGACTGGAGGTAATCAAAAGACTATGTAATAATCTCTCTTTAATTAGATGTTACGGGTCACTCATGAGGATGTCAGGAACCTAGAAGTAATATACATTTACAATTATCGTCAAAATTGGTAGCAACTTTCTAGGGGTACATATTCAACTCCGATCGACGACAATAACTGTATCACAGTTTCTTGAGCAGAAATCCAATTTCCACAGATAGTTTATGGTTTGAAATACTTCAGTAACTCGGAGGATATTTTACTCTCTTGAGCTGACTTAATTTTGCGACGTGGTGGTGTACATTCATCTATTACATTCAGGGTTATTCACTCTGAAAAGAAGTGACGAGGGTTTTTTGGTTGTCACTATCTTTAAATTCCTACAGCTTAGAATATTAGTCCACAACACAAATGAGTTATCAGTGTGTAACGTAGAGTGAATGAATATAAATCAGTCACTATGATCCTGAAGTTTCTTCAAACAGATTACAGTATGAGTACAGCATAAGTAATTTTACACAAACCGACCCGTAAATAATGAAAGAGTTAATGTCTGATTTCAACAACAAAAACTGTGAATCAAGTCATGTAAGTTATTCACTAAATAAAATGACTGGACATGCCCGTGCATATGTGTCATGATGATAATAGCAAAACATCAGTCTTTTCTTCCTGTGTTCTTTCGGTTACTTGGATTATTTTGTTGATTAATAATAAGCAGTGTAGTGTCCAGGTTCAAAGTAGAAGTCACCAATTGTGGACGTAGTCATAGATAGAAACGCAACACAATTGAACAATCTGATGTATTTATGAGTATATATTCAGAGTCAATGAGCTATCGTTCTAATTTATTAATAATTCTTTTATGACTAATCAGCAAAAGTCAGTTAACTTCGAGGAATTCCTATACAACCTTTAGGAAGCATTGATTAAAGTTATACCATATAAGATGTTTGCTTTCATCTTCGTAAATAAACACAAAATGGATGGTTTCACACGTGAAGTGATAATTGCCGATTAATGACTTATTTCACAAATCCATTGCAAGTATTAAACAGTTTCGGTGTTTCACCTCAAACGAACAAGCTGGCAGACGAAGCAGTAATGACAGGACTTCAAATGAACATGGAGGAGATAGAAGTGATGACGATAAGCAAAAAACAACAGCAAGCATCATCATCAACGGAAGAAACTTGAAGGAAGTCACTTTTTTCATTCATCTAGGTACATTCGTTTCAATAGCAAAGCAAGACAGACCTTCGTTGATCTGAAATTAATCTGGAAATCGACTGCAGTCAGCATAAAGGACAAGATTCGGATTTTCAACACTGATATCTAATCGTCGTATCTATATAGTCCAGAGACTTGACATGTCACCAAAAGCATTTCGAATAGGCTACAGACTTACATCAACGACTGCCCTCTACACAGCTCTTATACTTATTCAAACTTTAAACAGTGTTATCTTCCTAAATAAGCACAAGATAAATAATTTCACGCAAGAAGTATTAAGTACTTAGTGCTGACATATTACAGAGATGCAGTGAATGCATTAGACAATTGTAGTGTTCCACCTCAGTGTGACAGTAATCCTTATCTCTAGACTAATTTTATATCCCACTATCCAATCGTTTGGGGAAACATTTCATATTGCTACTTGCTTGACAATGAAGTCTTTGAATACAACCTCACAATGGTGTTAGTAAAGCAAATCTACAAAACTTAGCTAAGCCATGGGAATATTTTCCTTATAGTTAGGAGGCTTAATTCTCGACAGGATTCCAAATGAACATACAGAGGACAACCAACAATAAGGAGGAGATGACAGCCTACAGACAATCGTGGAGCCAGATAAAGACAACCGCAAAAAACAGGATGAAATAGAGATGTGCTACTTAAGCTATATACTCCACTCTACGGGAATAATAAAGCACCAGATATTGTTCACCGGTCTCATTAGAAATCATTGAAAGCAAACTATCTTCTATAATAATATATCTCTTCTTTATTGTATTATTTTAAAAAAAATGAACAGGAATGCATATTAATCATATCTTAACATAGAAAAAGAAGCAAAATATTACCTAGAAAATGGCATTTTGTGTTTAGAAAATAAAAAATTCATTTATGTGATAAAAAAAATATATGAATACTGTCTAGGGTTAAACTCTTTTTTCTTTTTCTGAAGAATATAGGTGGAAAAATTGAATGTAGAGAAATGAAAAAAACAACATTGGACTGGAAATAAATCTATGTACAATCAGAAAATATGTGGTTAAAATAAGTAGCTGATACAATTAGGCAGGAAAATAAGAAATAAGCATAGTATTGTCAATTATCTATCCATAAAACTGAGATATCCACTGTCCTTCATTGATAATTGATCATATTCAGGCTCCTACAAACAACAAAATGAAGTATAAAGTCAGCCTATAATAATAATAATAATTACTGCATGCTTTTAGATAATAGAATAAAGTGCCAGTGAACTATTTAAACATGTATAATAATTATTGCTTATTTTATTCCTTTACGTTCCCAGTGGAACATAGGGTTTCAAGCTAGAGGCTTAAAGTTTCGGTAGCGGTGGTGTTTATTTTTTTTACGGGAAAATATTAATTTCTTATGTATTTTCAAGTTAAATCTATCAAGCTTCAATATTCGTGTAACTCTGTTGCTTTTTTAAGCCGAAAAATGCAAGTTACTTGGATAGCTGCGGTGGTTTAAAACGAGTAAACTTCTTCATAACATTTGTCATTTTCGTTGTTAGCAGAATCATTAAGAATCGCTGAAATATTAGGTTGAAAATCATTAACGTGGAGAACACTAGATACGGTGGACAGTGAGTTTCTACTTATTTGAATTTGCACTTTGCATCCGTAGTTATGATAAGTCGATACTTCGAAATACTAAACATAAAGCTAAAGCTGGTCAGTATCGCTCTGTCAGTCATGCAAATTACTAACTAAGGAGATTTAAACCAGTAAATGTTTAAAAGTATACTTCACCTAAGTTGGATGAGATGCTTGATGCTTTGGCCCTCCTGATGAAGTAGTCTATCACATGAATTTGATGTTTCATATAAAAGGGAAAGACTGTCACCTGATATCTAAATGAAAGAATACTGGACATTTCTCTTCTGTTATTAGAAATACTTATGCAGTGATTATTTAATGTATACCATAGAATACAGTTAGGTACATTGCAGTCCCTTATGCAGAATACAAGAAGGAATTTTTTCTAATATAATTGAGTGGTTAATTATCATTACACATAGTGACCTACTAATTATACTACTGAAGACGGCTTACAAGGACTTTTCGATGTTTTTTTTATATGAAGGCGAAGTATCTATGCATCATACTATCAAATAAAGTCATTCTTACCATTTTCAATGAATTGTTTGTACCGCTGAACATCAGACTTGATGTAGTGAACATTGGATCAGTCTCTTGAAGCAGATCCATCAATTGACGAATATACGTTATTGCATAACGTAGTGTTCTAATTTTTGTAAGTTTTGTATCCTTTGGTATTTCTGGTAGACATGCCCGTAGATTACAGAATGCTACATTCAGTGTTCTTGTACGATTTTTATCTTGTTCACGTTGATGTTGTCTACGTATTGTTGAAGTTAATCTGGTTGAATTACATCGAATTTTTGAATTTTTTTCATCCTATTTTTATTTGAAAGAAAATGAATTTTTAATATTAAATAAAAATAATAGAAAGTTTTCCATATACTTTATAAGGTATCTTAATAATAAAAACAGTTTATAATAATCTCTTGCAGAGGGAGGTAGTGAAGTAGTCAACTGTCACTACTATTATTATTTAATATTATTCCCTTGGGTTCCGAGTGGAGTCCTCTTCAGCTGTGTCCACGATTGACCATAATCTCTCATCTCCTCCTCGCCACACTATCTCTTGCATGTCACACTCACACTGACGACCCACTCGTCGTTATCCATTGGGATTCCACTCGAGCAATGGCTTGCATTGCGCGCAATGTCATTCTACTGCCTCCTCTGTGGCATATACCCAATCCATCTCCATTCTTTCCTACATATTGTATGACTCCATAATGATGCTATAAAATTGATTCATCTTTGCCTTAAGGGAAAAATATGATTTTTTATGGTTATCAGCATAACAAAACTCTTACCATGAGATTTTGGACGACAGGACACCTACGAGGCAAATATTGCCGAAAACACCTACAATACAGTGAATGACATTATTTCTTCATACCACATAAATCCCTTCTTTAAATATTCTTAAACTTACTAGGATGAATTTATATATATATATATACTTTTCTGTAAGTCATTGAACAGTTAAGATAGATCAAATTTAATCGCTGATTTATTTGGATGAACTTTGAATAATATACGACTAATCGAATCGCCACCAAACTCAACGCAGTTGAAACACGTGATTTAAACCAATCTCTGCTGAAATATTTCGACTACTTTCGAATTCTAACCTAATTAACATATTTAATATTCTAATCTATCTGTTATTGAGAAATCTTCAGAACTGAGCTGACTATTTGCACACTTAGCTAGATTTAACTCTAAAAACCGCACAGTTCTTGTTTGCTCGAATACTATTAAATGATTAGGATGGACTGACAAACTGAAAATGGCTTGGAGATACGTGTAAATTACACTATTCATGTTGTTCCTTTTGCCAACTATAGTTTCCTGCTAATGCCTATGAAAGCGCTTACATTTCATTCTCATAGTCTTAAAACAACAAAGTTTTTCTGATTCCATCGTACAAAATGCAAATTTAGTTGAAAAACTATTTCGACCTTTTCATTGCAATTAAACATTGCCCCATATATATAAAAGGGGGATACACAATGTTTGAAATAGGTCAGTAGTATATTTCAAATAAAAAAATGCAAATCAAAATATGGTTCTCATAGACACAGTTACTAACTTGTAAACAACTGACTTACATTCTGAACAACAGGAGAATTTCGAGGATATTTTATAGGTAAGTTTTCTTCTGTATGAACTTCGTGAATGAATGGAGAAATTTGATCAGATGAATTGACAGTGAGTTGGTTTACCAGTTCATTGTTTTGAAACTGTGATTGAAAATTATGCGATTGTCTATTTTCGATTCTGTTGGTTATCGAAGTTGGTATTGTAACTGTTGTCTTCCCAGCATCAAAAGATGAATAATCAAAGAAGTCTTCATCATTTCTTTGTTGACTGACAGATTCACGCTTAACATATGGAGTACTCATATACGTAAGGTGATTACGGTTATTATTATCATTACTAATATGGGTGTAGCCACTTAAATTATTCGACAGATAGCAGACAGATGGATTTAATTGATTCATTAGAGAATAATCATTCAGTTGGGTTAGTGATTCTATCGTTTCATAAGAATTTTGATATTCTGATATTCTGATCAAAGGAGTAGAGTGTTGCTGATTTCGTTGTACTGTTGAAAATTGACTAGAATTTGATGGAGATTCCAGTAGCATATCAATTTCTTGACTATCACTTCGATTATAGTTTGAAGAATAAAAGTGTTTTTCAATTATCGATTCTAGATATGATTGATTCATTGATTTCCTGTGATGATATGGACTATCTTCAATATTCATTTTATAAAACAGCAATAATAACAATAATATTCTGTATGTGAACACTGCTGCGAATACTGGCGTTATTTATATCAGAATTTATTTCTTATTTTATCTTTTTTTTTCTAACCATTCGTCTTGTTTTTTCTCTGCCCCTCTCTTCTTTTCACCTTCCCTTTGTCTTTCGTCAAATAGGAAAATGTATTTTATTTCTCCCCAGATTTTATGCAAGGTGTAATCACCGCACTTAAATGTGATTGGCTGGCGTGTATTTATTCAACTCCCTTCTCCTTTTCACACTTCACTTCACATTTGTTTATGCATACAAACAAATAAACAAAATGCAATGGCAGTATTATGCCCGTATATCTGATTGAAATTATCTATTTTGAGGAAAAAGAAACGCGTTTGGTTTGAATGAATTGCATGCTTACACTTTTGCTGTGAATGCTGCTACTTTAAATGATAATAATAATGATGATAACAGTAAAAGTGAAGAGTATAAATTTTGATTTCAAATGGCTGATAAACTTCAGTGAGTCATTGTTGAAATTGCACCATTTTCAACTGTTTTTATTATGAATAATGAGAAAATATTATATAAATTAATTCATGGGCATTCTGATTTCCCAAGGGGGAGGGGAGGCGAGTGGGTGGCTAAATGAATATTCGCCTCCACAGGAGTAATATGCTGTCATTATTATTAATATTGTTATTATTACTAATATTACCGACTGATGATGTAATCAAGATGTGAAGCTTAACCTCAAACTCTTATCAACTGAGAACGATCAACTTATTGTTTGAAAATGATTGATAATCTGTCAGATGAGGTAAATAGTTGCATAAAAAAAGTGTGAAGAGAGTGTGAAAATATTCTGTTAGGATTAATGAATGGGATTTTGATTTAAACACCCAGTAACTGAAATACTGCTGAATACTGAAATACTCCGATTTAGTATGAATGTATGAAGGCTGGCATTATGAATAATGCGGAAAGTTGAAGAAAGGATAAATTCTGACGATGGGTGTGGTGACAACACTTTTATACTTAAGATGACAAAATATAGACTGAAGTGAAGACCAAAGTCCTGAAGTGGACTATAACTGACAGCTGCTGAAATGACTTATTAGAGCAGTACTGACTTGGTTAAGAAGGAATAAATGACCTCTAAAGTATTTATAAAAAGATTGAAGGCTACTAGTACTATTTTATCTTTGTAATGCTATTAGAAGATAAACTACGATCATCCAGAGCAGCGCCTGTTAAAGTTAGTCAGCACTAGATTAAGTAAGAGAGACGTACTGAAGTGCAGTTTTAGTTAGGGCACATGAATATGTTCTTAGTGAAATGTTATCTTTATTTGCTAGATTTAGGTGAAAATGTACAACAGTTAGAAGTTAAAATTCATGAGCCAGTGAATCGGGTCCCAGTGGCTGAGTCTGAGCTCGCCTTGTAACCGGAAGGTCCTGGGTTCGAATCCCAGTGGGTGCGTACTGCCGATGATTCCCAAACTAGGATGAAACAACAGCTGTCCAGTACTCCCTGGTTTTCAATGATTCTCTAACTGATATCAGTCCGTGATCAACTCGTAAAAGCAACAGTTAGTGGTTTAAGATTTAATGACAATCGTCTCTGATGATGCACAATTCTTATCTAGTGAATAATATTTCCAAGGGATTCATCTTCCTTCGAGAGTGTTTGGTTGTAGTTTCAAATGTGGCATGCAAATTGTTCTTGGGGCTAACAAAACGTGATATTTATATCTTAGTCAGTAAGGCAAATCATAACTTTTAGAGTTCAGTGCATATATGCAGAACAAGTCTGACCAATAAGAATAGAAGATGGATTTTATCTGACTATAACATCTTACAGCTTGTTATTCATCGTGATATTAAGTGGTTGTACACAACCAGCAGAAAGCCTTTGACCTAGGTTTCGTGCCTGTTGACACTCGTCAGTTGGAACTCATACCCTGTCTGAGATTCGAACCCGGAGCACCAAGTGCTGCATTTAGAGACATTAGCACGGAGCTATTCGGGCTTGTAGTCCTACACATTCCTACAGAAGGTCAGTGTTTCTCACTAAGTCGCATTTTAAACAGAATCGGTATTCGCTTTATGATTTCGTATGCATCTAGAAGCAATGAAACGACAGTTTTTTTGCTTAGTGACTTTCATACGTACAATATTTGCATTACTTTATTATTATGCAAAGTGATGTTTGTTTTCAGTGTTAACATTTATACATACAAAAATCAACCCTGAATGAGAAGAGCACTTAAAAGCTACTTCATCCTAAATTAAGAATCTTCAGTAGTGCTCAACCAAAACCTCTCGAGAGATTAAAACAGTGACAGTTAATTGTTGAGCTGAACTTTACAACAGATGGGAATCCAGTAACCCTAACCTCCAATCATTCGTGACGCCATACAATGAAATCAACAATTTGTTGTCCTTACAAGTGATTTTATGGACTTTATCCAACACAGATTATTACTAGAACTTTGGAAAATGCATCTTGAAACTAATGAATCCACATAAAAGTACGAACTGAACATTTTACTTTACTTATAGGAAAAATACATGGAATATAACTGTCACATAAGATTTAGGCTACCGAATAATTCCAGAATATCGTAAACATATTCCTTTATGCTACATTTATAAACAGAAATAAATCAGTGAGAGTTATGATTGATATTATCATCTGATTTTTTCCACAAATTGCAGTTGTATGTTGCAGAGAATTTAAACTTTGATGCAGCATTTCCCTGTCTCTGCATGAACATTATAATCACTTTTATCAAAGTGTACATTTTCCGCTTAACTGAGTCTTTCACTCTTCTGGTTCCCAATTTAATTCACATCTATTAAGAAAAAGATAAAGTATGAACTGCTACTGTATTGAAACAAGCCATTTTTTGCATAATATATGTCACACAAGTAATCATCATAATAATAATAGTAGCACCTGCTGATTAATTGACATAATGGTGAATGGAATTTAATTTCAAAGCAACTTTTATCAAATGCTGAAACAGACTTCTTTATTGTAAAAGTAATTGATTTGCTGTGAAGTAGTACCACCTACTGATGACAGCATCACAGAGTCATACTAGCAGGGGCAGTAAAAAATGACAGTCAGTTTAATTTAATAATTACAGCTTTAAGCAGCATAGAAATTAAATAACTTTCTGCTTTTCTTCTTTTTTTAATAATCGAATAAATAGCACATTTTATCAACTTGTAAAATGATGCACATTGTATTATAACTACTAAGGTTATTTTAAGTTTATTAGATGGGTCTTCCTCATTCTGCTTGAATTATTCCCACTGTTCATTAAAGGTGTTATATAATTTTTGTTCAAACAGTAACATCACTGTGAGTTAGCCTACTGAAAAACAGCTTAAATAAGAAATCATCAATCGCTTAATGGCATGAAGCTTGATGCCCTACAGAGTCTTGAGTTAGTACATGTAAAGAATTCCAAGCTCCTTGTTTTCAATGATTTTTTTAATTGAAGTCACTTCTTAATAATAAGGTACATCGAAAAGTCGTCAAAGTCTGCCGAAATATAATGGTGGTTAATAAAAGACCACCTGTTACAATTTCCTTGATTGTATTTTCAGTAATTTGCAAGCACCGGTAATAAAAGATATTGATTTAAATCTTAAGGTAGTTCACAAATATCTATAATTATTTCATTGAAATAGAAGTGTGGGCATGCGATTTCTTGTAATAGTTCTATCTGGATTATAAACTTAAACTGACTCAGTACCTCAGAAGTGGAGTGCCTACTGGATAGGCACAACAGAACAACTCACCAGGATACAACCCCATAAAAATTTTAATATTTAATGAAGGTATTGGAACAGAAGAGATGAGAAGGTAAGCATGAAGAAACGGAAAGAGAAATGGCAAATTAAAATGAAATATTCATCAGTGAAGGACAGTAAATGAAAGATTTTAAGTTACACCGCTTACAGCCTGCGATTATTGACCACCATCTCAAAGAAGACTACAGTCAGATATCTTATACCTTCCTAAATGGAGGTTAGAGACTTTCAGGAATGATACGGTACTACTTTTGACAAAGCTTGGCAGTTTTCTGACTAGATTTTCTATGAATGAAATATTCCCATATTGAGTCGTAAGAAAAAGAAGTAAACAGCGAAGAAAATTTTCTCTTCAACGATTCGTTTTCATAAGCTGTATAATCCTAATTATATTTAACAAAGAATTCATGAGACTATTCAGACACCGTTAAAGTTTGTACTCGAAAATGTATTATATAATGTAAGATGTAATCTAGAAGGGAGTGACTAACTGGAAATTAGAAAAGGAAGCAGAAGTTGGAGTGAGTGTGAGAAGACGACCAATCAGTATAACTGTGTAGAGTGGACAAAAAAACTAGTGGAAAGACTACAAAGTGTTTTCATTTAAAATCTGTATGACAATGCAATGTTATTAGTAGCAGAGGGATAATAAAATAAGGATAATGAGAGTAATAATAATAATGATGGTAAACTTACATGATAAAGGAGAAGCAAAATTAAAGGGAGAATATTACTGTGGCCACAGCAGGGCGAGCGAATGTATGCAGCTCTTTTGAATGCAGAGGTCCGGTTTCAGATCCCCAATGGCCAATGATTCAGATATGTATAGATGGCGTATTCGAATTCCTTTCGTACGACATTGAGGAACTCTGTGTAGTACTGTGAAGCATTCATGTGGGGTGCACGATATCCAGAGTTGACGAGGTGTTCAAGGATAGAGCTACTGGTACTCTTTTTTTCTCCGCTGGTTAACCAAGCTGGACAATGTTCCAGAATAGGTTTGTGGACGTGACGTTGAGTACAGCCAATATTCTTTACTGCACATGATCAAGTAAACTGATAAAGATACACTGAGGTGATCGAAAGCGGTATCTTATCCATAACATAAGACTGGATTAATTGTCTACTCGATGTCTCCTCTGAATTCCAGGTTCATGAAGAAATTTTTCTTAGGAATAGTTGTGATATTTGGCGACGGAGGCTTTTCCTTCATGTTTTTGTCGATAAATCTCAGCGAGTACCGATTC